GCAGCTTTTTTGGTTTGTTGCTGCTGACGTTTTTAAAAGATGCTGTGGCAGAGATCCTAGAAATTGGATTTCTATGTTTATGTTCTTCCTACCTGTGACACATTCACATATCCGCGAGATGCTGGGGATGGTTTAAACATCACTGATGATTTTATTTAACTACTACAACCTGATGGTACTATATCCCCCCAGGTTTGAAATGGATACACATGAATGCACTGTCAGGCAGCAACAGCATGCAGCAGGGAATGAGAACCAGCTGCCTGCCACCACCCCCTGCCACTGAAACTGCATCCTGAGATACGGCACAGAGCTTACACCTCACATCAGTCCTGTTCCAGAGACTTCAGTGGGAAATGAGGAATGCAAAAGGCTCCTGCACAGGGGTCACTTTCACATGGTGAGGTATGGAGAAAGCACCCAACATTGCGGTGCAGAATATGAGCGCAGCCCCCTCCCTGCAGGGCACAGGGCAGCCAGCACCAGGCTGGGAAGCGCAGGAGCCCCACTGGTGGTACTCACCCTACTTGGCGAGGCATACCACTCGCCTTTCCTGCAGCTGCCTGCCCTCAACCTAGCAAAAATGCAGAGAATGGGACTAAAGGGCAAGAATTGTTTTTGCGTTTTCCGTTCATGCTCACCCCTGTGCGGGCAGCCTGGCTATGAGGAAGAAGCGCGCTCCCTTGCCACAGTGCTGCCCAGTATTGCTTCAGTGTGCTGCAATGCACTGATTGGGTAAGAGGCAATTTTAGTTCTTTTACTCCCATTGTCAGTGCTGTGGTGTTGCATTCATAGGCGTGTAAATAAAAGCCTGCCTCCCATCCAGGGTAGCTGCCATTTTGTACAGCCTTTCTGATCTCGTGGCAGAGCACCACCAAGCCCGAGCTTGGCTTTCAGGGCTCTCCCCCACTTGCTGATTGCCACCAGTCTTAAAAGGTCATTTTCCAGGAGATTCTACAGCATTGCAGCAACAAACTTCTGCTCTGACATTATGCAAAAGGACACATACGTTCAAATACATCTAACTTCAACCCCATCTAAGAGAAAGGCTTTAACATGTCTGCAATCTGTCAAGAGGTTTCGCCGTAGACTTTGACAACCTCGTTTGTAACCATTGCATTGTCAGACAAGTTTCCTTCCTCTTCTTCCCCACACTACCACCTCACATCCCATTCAGAGCTCTCACTGTGTTTCCTAAACAGATGGAGAGCCCTGTACACTTCCAGGATTTGGGAAGCATTAGCTCAGCTTTTAGAGGTGGAATGTGAAGATCAGAAAATAAACATGGCAAACCCAACCAACTCTGCTGATCCAAATGAGGGTTTTTTCTAGATTTCCCTTGGATCTGAAGCCCCTTCTACCATAGATCAGTGTTACTGAAAATACAATCACTCAATATAGATGCTCACAGCTTAGAGGAACAATCTGACACCCGAGAAACAAAGCTGAATGTAGAAGATGAATGAAAGTGGTTTAGCTGGATTTGAAAGTCACACCGCAGCTATGGCCACATAACCTCATTCACACTTACCTGCACCAGCCTGTCATGCTGTGCATGTGCACTAAGAGCGCTGACAAACCACTTCTGAAACAATTAAGGGCACCCAGGGACCCAGAAACCAGGCTGACTCTGGGGAGAAGAAGTAGGGGACCCTAGCCCAGAAGCCAGACATGCCCACATACTTGAAACTCCCCTTGCAGAGGAGAAAATGAAAGGTTATCATCTGCCCAGATTTGAATGTGACAGTTACCTCATGAGCATCTAGCAGCTCCAAGAAGACTGGCTGTTGGTCATGTGTCCTGCAGCATGGTGAAGCTGTTTTCTGCTGGAGGCTCTGCTCAAGACTTTCCCTGGGAAGGATAAATGTCTTCTAGTCAGATCTTTGACCACACTGTCTAAGGCTCAGTCAAGATTGCCCTCCTCACCCATACTCTGCCACAAAATCCCTGAAAAGTGACAGGTCTCTGCAATAAGAAGTGCAGCAAAACCATGAAATCAGCTCTTTTTCTCATCTTATCACTGTGACACATACCATAGAAGCCACCAGTGGTTTACATTAAGAATCTCTTGTTTTGAGTGGTTCGGAGATACTACATTACTTTCTGCATCCCAGGCACAGTATTAACTCTTCAAATGCAAAGTCACAGCTGTGTGCATCCTTGCAGCCATACTCCCCTTGTAAGTAACTGAAATGAAGATGTATCTGGTGGCTTCCATTAGTGTCTGTTATCTACTGTAGAGAAAGAAAAATTTCCAATGTTGGTATAGCCCAGGAAGCAAAGAAAGCAGAATGTGTCCTACATTGTATCCCATGATGGCAGGGCAGAGTGTTGGAGTGCTGAAGTATCCGAAATGCTTTTCAACTTTTCAGCTACTGTTCTAAAACAATTTTACACTCTTCTAGGCTTAACCCTAGTACACCAGCAAGAATCATATTAAAAAGTTTCAGGTTCTCCTATTCCACAGATCCCACTGTGTCACTTCAACTGCCATCATCGGCATGGCTAGCTGTTCTTTATGCAATTAAATCAAAACACCTATCCTTATTCCTACATTAGTAATTCATTTTTTTTAAACAGGAAAAATTAAAGATCCATTTTTGGACGGATCAAGACCCTAGCAAAGACTAGTAACCTATAGTATAGGCTCTACGTAAATGTCCTGTTGCACAATTACTTCTTAAAAGAAAGGCTGTACAAACCTCAGGATTTGAGCTTCTACTTTAAAAAAAAAAAAAAAACACATCAAAAGACCCAAGTCCTAATTAAGGGCCTAATCTAATTCTTGGGTAGTCACTGTTACCTGTGCAAAGAGGTTATATTATTTCCCAACTGTAGTCATAGCCTTTATCATTTTAAAGATGCAAGATTGTACACAAATGCCCAGACCTTTGTTTGTGGAAAACCATGCGTAAGCAAGCCAGCCTTATCTGCCTGAACTGATAAGCAACTTCGAATACAGTGACCCTGGCTTACAATGACTGCAGTCTATCATTGCTGTTTATTTTCACTGATCATATTTAGCAATCAAGTTCAATAAACTTATCAATGTCTCAGCAGCAGTCCCTTGGGGCACACAGCTCATTGCTTCTAGGATAAGGAGGTTTAACAGTTCAAATCAGAACACAGAGTACTTATTTCCTTACCTGGTTAGAAGAGGTGGTACCTGATAAATGCATGATCTATCCAGGACTAAGAAGCTTAAAACTTGCATCCTTTTTTCCACCCAATATTTCTGGATCACATACACAGAGCTCTTAGTACTGTTTTCTCCAAAGCAGTTTCATTTAAAAAAAAAAAAAAAAAAAAAAAAAAAAACAAAGAACAAAAAACTACTGCACTTCAGAAATTCTGAAGCAGAATAAAGCAGCTGTAGTTAACTTGATATTAACACTCTCAACACTGCAGCAGGAATAGAGGCAAAGGTGTGCTACATTGTGATTGAGCTGCAACAGTCTGCCTTGGGACAGGGAAGCTGGCTTATACTGGACACTGATTTGCAGTAATAAGCCCCTAAAAACATTAAGTATGAAAACTGGTAACAAGTGAATGTGACTCATCTAAGGAATAAGCAGAAGTGAGGAAAGTGTTTATGCAAAAATAACCTCACTCTAGTTCGACCCCTCATTAGACTTACTAGGCAACTGATGTTCACACAAGTTTTCTGATTGGGGTATAAATTATATAGGGCAGCTTCTGAGCAGCACATACATAATTTATTTGAGACTTGATGAAGCGACTACATTAAGAGTTCAGAGGAAACTGAACTCCCATGTCTGTAAGGATTTCTGTTTGAAAATGTATTTACAATAAAAAGCTAGATGTACTAATTGCCAAGTCCTCTATCACGTTATGAATCATTTCTAACACCTTTGCTACCTGTCAAAAGATTTAAGCTGAAATTCACCTTACCTTTCTAGCAAAAAAGCAGGTAACGTGTAAAAGCCTCGGTATTCTTAGGCAATCCAGACCTCTGCTTAGCAAAACAACTGCAGACTGCAACAGAAGGCCTCACACATAACACCTAGTATAAGAGACGGCTGCAGTACAGCAACACTGTCCTTATACACTGCTTCAGGATACTCCCTGACCAGTCTCCTCAATTATAGCAGTTAAACCCAGCACAATCTTCCTGAGAAAAAGGAAATGAAGTTAATGTTTGTGATACCGGTCGAAGTGCATGAAGCAAACACCTTACTAATTTTGTTAGGGATTCAATATGTCCATTTACACTAAAAGATAAGCCAACCACAGGCAGTTAGATGACAAGAGCTAGTCATTACACTATATTCCACAGAGAAGCACCAGCTGCACTAGCTGAAATGTTACTAAATCCTGCTAATGACATTGCTATTTTGCTTAGGTTAAGAGTCTACTCCTACATCTATAAAAAATGTTGACAATTAAGGAATGGAGTGGTGAGCATAGTCAAATAAACATTAAGCTCCAAGTGCCTTCATCACATGATGCTTCTTTAGTGTATCTTGTAATTCCAACAGAGAATGGCAAAACCAGCAAATGGCTATTTCTGCTACAAATAAAAAATACTTTTTTTCTATTTCATTATCAGGGAACTCAAAGTCATTTTACTCTATGCTTATTTTAAAAATCAAGTGAAGAAAATTACCACAACAACCACAGACGCAATTTGGAAGCCAACCCACATTACTTCAAAACCCGCACCTCAATCTTGTCAGTCAGGGCAACAAAACTGAAATGTTTCAAGAAGGATTAAAAAGTTCTTTTCCTGAGAACTACACTGCAGACTTCACAGCTCAGCTGTTCAATGCATCTTTTACATTACGCACTGATATTTGTATCAATTTTATGGAGAACTTAAGAACATTTACAAGCTTTGAATTCCTTAGATAAGAAATTACAACAGAACATTTATACATTTAGAAAGAGGTTTTTGCTGATCATTCTCTTAAAACAATAAATCTTAGAAATGGTCCTGACAATGGTTAGAAAGCCAGCAAATAAGTTAAAAGACAAAGGCATAAGATCTCCATAAAAATGTTTTTATTTTTATTTATTTATTTTTTACCAATGAGGACCTCATTTGAAAAAAGGATTTACTCAAGCTTTTCAACTAAAGGAACAGCAAAACAACCCAGCAATCCTTCCAAGTAACAGGCACACAGAGGTATCCTGTTCCAGGACAAAAGATACCTATCAAATGCATCTCCTTGCCCTCTTGCAATATTGGGAAGTTACAAGTTTTTAGTAACAGGCTAAAGAAAATTTGTCAAGAAATACTACTCTGAAGCAGCTGTCCCATGGCCCGTGTCTCCCCCTGTTTCTCAGTCTTCATCCTCATCTTTCAGTTTCTTCTTTTTCTTCTTCTTTTTCTCTGTATTCTGGAAACAAACAAACGTTGCTATGAATCAACTATAATGGAGAAGCAAAGCAACGCAGGTAGCTAAGAAACAGAGCTCACTCAAAGCATCCTTGTAGCTGCCACGCTTCACACAGCACAATTCAAGAGATGGAGCCTTCCTTTACTGCTAATAGACTTGATAGTTACAGCACAGTGAGGCCAGGGGGCAAGGGAAGTTGTGCTGTCTGTCACAACCACTGGCAGCTCAGCACTGTGGTCAGTGTATATCTGACAGTGTAGCTGCCCTAATCAAAGGAGAGAAAATTAAATCTGATGTTTAGAGCAGAATTTCAGAACTGAGCAATTAGTTTGGCTACAGCATCTACTCTGTTGCTGCTAGGAGACATCAAACAATGCTTCATCTACTCGGCAGGTACAGCCTCTGCTCTGCAGGAGCCCTAAACAATAGGGATGCCTGTGGATTAGCACCAAGGGACCTCTGTAGAAGAGGTATAAATAATGAAGACTAAAGCTGAGGGTGTGCTAAGGAAAGGAGAGGAAAGATTCTTGGTGCATGGAGGCACTACCACCACAGATTTCCCAGACCTTATTTTGGAATGCAAATCTTCTTGGACTTTACAGTGACGGATATATATAATAAAAATAAAGTTGCTAAATAGTAAAATAGTCCTTGTATGCCCTGAGTTACATAGGTAAGAATATTTTCCCCTCACTCCATGTACTTTGAAGGGAATTCATTCCCAAAAAGGGTGAAGCAACTGTGGAATTCTGCCTCACCTCAACTGTGGGGCTGGTGGGTGGTTCCTCAGTCTGTGACTCCTCTTCATCAGCTTGCTTTTTCTTTTCCTTTTTCTTTTTCTTCTTTTTGACAGGTTCACCCTCATCTACATCTGCTTCTTCTTCTTCTTCTGTACCACAGAATGAATAAAAGTGGCAGGTTGTCAGTTATTAGAAGCGTTTAAGGCAAAAGATAAAGCTTTCTAGGAGATGAGAGGATGCAATGAAAATATTAAGAAAGAACACAAAAAAAAGAATACTCTTCCCCTTTACGTATTTCCATACCTATTTTTTCTCCACTTCGCCCCTGCTTGCATAACTATTCCTTACTATTATCAAAACATGCAGCTATGTAAGACGACCGACAGTGTGACAACACTATTCACCTCTCCTGGCACAAATAGCACTCCTATACGCTGCCTTCAACATTTCAAAAACAAGCTTGCATGTTTTATTTGCCTGCCAAATTATCAGGTACTCTTTCTGAAAACAGACTGTCCACAGTTAGGCAAATATTTTCATCGGCATCACAAGAGCAGTGGAAGGACTCAACAATCCACATCAGAAGCGCATTCAGCCTGCAGTAGGTTGTTCTCCACTGATTCCCTTATCTTAGCATTGGAAATCTGCTACGAAGCAGATCAGCAATCTTTTCTTAACTGTTTAGACTGGCAAACACAAAGATCTCAATGCTGAACTGACATAAAACATTTAATGCAAGAGCAGAAACTCTGCCCTGGAAGACAGGAATTGAATTATTTATACAAGCTGAGAGGACTGTTAACCCAAGGAGAGATTTACTAATGCTCTCTTACATTTATTTTTCAGAACTATTCGTCGACAGCTGGCACATCTAATCACAGTGGTAGAGACACTATAATTTACCACCACTCATCTTTCTAAAATACATGCCATAGTCCTAGGAACCTCTCGGTAAAGAAAACAAGCAGAAATCACTAACCAGCTGACAGCTTATGCAGTAGCCAGGCTGTTACTTTAGTGTACCCAAGTTGAATTTATTTGCACAACTGATTCAGTGCTGGATACCAAATTTCTCAGGATGTAGTACTCATGAGTACATTCATAATATAGCAACCATTGTCCTGCAGTAGCTGCAAAACTAAGATGCCAAAACTAGTAGCAATTGTGGTATGTGCAGCTGCTACCAGAGCTGTGAAGCAATTTTTTCAGTGAACTCCCCCCAAAAAAACAGAATCAATTTCCTTTGGAAAGCGTACTCACTTATCACTTACAAAAAGAACAAAAACAAAAACAGTGCTGTTATTTTTAAAACAAGAAAAAAAAAACACCCAACCTCCTAACATTTTAATTATATTGTCACAAGTTTAGTTCCTCAGGGCAGCAATGCGATTATGAGTCAAAAATATACTTCAATCTTTGCCTCCAACATAACCTCCAGATATAGAACAGGCTTAATTGTAGAAAACTTCTAGACATTTCCACAGCAAAATACAGCTAGCTAACACACGCAGGTTTTTGACATTAAAAAAGTGACACAAGCAAGCCAGCAAAGGATTCCAGATAAAAGAACTGGTATATATGACCTTAAGTGTGGATTCTGCCACACACATCATTCACAGTGAACAGTGTACAAGTGTAATGGATTAAAACCAATTAAGAATAAGTATCCTTACCTCCCCGTATAAGACACACACAAATAAAAAGTGGCACAAGTAAGTCATTACATTAAAGCTATACAGTACCAAAAGTACACAAATCACATTTCACTACGCTACACATATTCACTCAGCAGGACTGGTAAGCCATGCATTTTCAAGCAAAACATTGGGTGGTACCCTGGAAAAAACTTGTTATTACTCTGTCTTCAAGTATGACACATCAGGCAGTGGAACTTGTCACAATTTACAACCACAGATAATGCACTGCACGCTCACAGGCACTGTCACTTCTCACAGCTGGCAGCAGACGCCTACAGGAAGATTTAAGTTGCTCCTTTCTAGCAAAGCTCATTGCAGGACTTCACGTATCTGTACCTAGGCAGAATGAGGACAGAGGCTCCGAGGGTGCTGCTCTTCTCCTTGCAGATCTAACAGTTTTAAGTCACTCAAGCCCAGCTGGATTTATGATACACAGCAGTTGACAACAGCTGTGTATCATAACAACTATCAGGCACCAAGACACAACAGGCAGCACCCAAAAGAGCAGTTTGACTGACAGCCCTGCACAGCACTGGAAATCACTAGTAGTAGTTCCAGCCACCCATTTTCTACCAATCTTCTCCAAGTTTTTACATACCAGCGTCTAATGCACCCTCCCCTCCTCGTGATCCTCTATGCATACAGAATTAAGTCACACAGCCTATCAAAGACACCACCTCATAATGCTGCTGGCATTTAAGGCCTTGTGCCTTGCAGTGTTCCCTGCATTAATTTGTTTATGTTTGCAACACCTTTTCAAGTGAGTAGCTGCTGCTATATTCTGACACTTCAGCTAAGCACTTCACTGGGGGCACTGGCTGGCCCCATTAGCAGTATGCATTCTGTTTAACCACATCCAGTTTCAGAATCTAGCCACAAAAATAATTCCTTTCCCCTACCATTAACACAGATTTGTATTAGAAAACAACTTATTAAGTATCTTATTTCAGGCACTATCTTTCTGCTTGGTTTCCTTTTAGGTGTAAAAGATGGTTTGAAGTCATGCCTCCCTCCTTAGTACCCCCACTCGCAGTTCCTTTCCAAAGTACTGCCACGCATGCACTCCCAACAGGGAGACAGCAAACACCACACACCACACCTTGCAGTAACATTCTGTTTTCAGGATAGCACAATGCAAAATACTGTTCCCCCTTTACTGTGAATAATAAAGTATTAGTTTGACAAATCACTTTTCAGTGACAACTTCCCATCTCATTCTTTACCTTCCTCACATAATATGAACTGGATCACACTTATCTGGCTAAAGAATTCACCTTTTTCCTGAACATCTTTTCCACCAGCACCATTTACCATGCAGCTGCACAAACAGCACAGGGAAGGAGGGGGCAGAGACTTCTTGCGCAACACTGTGTCTGGATGTGCAATCGGACCAGAGAAAAGCCTAACAGAGCACTGCACCAGAAAAACCAGGGCCAAGAACAGCAGAAATGAAAGGCTTGTGCATATGCAAGTGGACATACAATCTAAATCTCAATGCTGGGACCTCCTCTGTACTCTCCTGTGTACCGCAGAACTCACTGAACCACTCAACAAACTTCTTGGCTCACCACCACCCCACCAGCACACTGTACAAACATATCAACTGGAAAAAGAGCAAGGTCACCGTCTGTCTAGCCTGTGTCAGGAAAATCTGTGTACTTTGTTGGGTGGTCAAACAAGAACTTGCAAACTTAGTGACAGTGCTATTTTAAAGGGTACAGGAAGACAGGCTGAAAGGATGAGATCTGCATATAGTTGATAGGAGGTCAATAAGCTCTCTGGAACTGCTCCTCCCATACTTTGAAGCATCTGGCACACATTAGGAACATAGTTCTAATGCCCAAGTGTCCCAGTAAAAGAGAACTGGAGTAAAAACAATAGCTGTGAACCTTTGAAGGATGCCCTACCCTTTCAGGAAGGTTTTTTCAAGTTTTTGAAATTAAACAGAACAGGTTTCAGCAGTTCACCAATATTCTAAACACTGTCTACAGCTCTAATAATTCCTGGTAACTCAAGGATAACTGCTAAGCTCCAATCCCCTAAACTAAGAGGTAACAATGCTCAAAAAAGCAAAGCAAACAAAAGTTTTCCTCTATAAACACATGAACCACTGAATAAAAATAATCTTTTCGTACTGTAAGAGGCCAGGCTGGAAATGATTGTAATATTTCACCTGCAAGGAGCTCACACCTACAAGATGTCAACACTTTGACAATGGAAGTGAGGCCCAAGGGAACGATTCTGAGGCTACAGTAAGGGAAGTTAGTTCAAAACATTACCAAAAGCAGTAGATGTGAAAATACCCATGCTGTCCAAAAAGCAAATGGGCAACATTCAGGCATCCAAAGTACTTATTTGTCTTTGTTTCATTATAAGCACGTGAGAACAAGCTGGGGCACACCTCTACTTCACAATATAAAGGATTCTCCCTCCATTGAAACTTTAGTTCTCAGCTAAATTTAGGTTCCTACAGGTTGCTCCATCCACGTACACTGACACCGTAAACCAACTATCAACCAGCATCTAGAAAGTTCACCTCAGTTTAAGCTGAGTGTTAAGAGGCTTATAGACAGCTACCATGACAGCCTACCTCCAATTTCTCTAGAGCAGAACAGCACAGAGAAAGGCAGAAAGGGAAGGCTTTGACAGTCCCTGCCTTCATGCATGTGCAGTTGACAGAACTGGAAGCAGTTCAGGCTCAAGGTCTCACAAGAAGGACAGAAAGTCCCAAGTTACTGGGTACTCCACTGATGTAGGAATGATTAGGTCAGCCATTTAGAGATGCTGGAAGTGCACAGAGGAGAAAAGATGGAAAATGTTGGCTGAAGTGAACCACCTTACAAAAAACAGAGTGCTTTGTAGTTAAAGTCCAGAACCTTTCTTCACACAGTATCTCAGAGAAGTAAAGAACAAGTGTGGCCACAGCCATTTTAGCTCACCGGGGATTAACTGTTCACGTATCATGAATTCAGAGTGAAACTTCCAACTTTGAGTTCTAATGTTCAACGTTTACATGTTGAAACACTTCCTTGCATAATGAAACAGTATTGTTTGATGAAAATGTAAGAAGAATGAGTAGAGATTTTACTTTTCGAAGTGTTCTTCTATCCTTACAATTGTTTAAGGCTATTATCATTAACACATTATGTCATAACTGAGGAGAGTAACCAGGTATAGCAGCTGGTTGTCAGTGTTAAATCCCACTGCACGATGCACACAGCAATATGCTAGCACCACAGCTGCAGCAACTAACCTTTCATCTCCGCTTTGAACTTCTTTGCTTTCACAGCAACCCCTTCCTCCTGTTCTTCCACCTCCTGTATTTTTTTTCTCTTCGAAACAGCAGGAAGCGTGGAGTCACCAGATGGGTCATATACTTTTACTTCACTGTAATGAAAGAAGCAAGATGGTTTAAGTAACAAAGGAGAGCTAGCCCCCAAGTAAGATTCTGCAGTTGAACATTAGCTTTCCAGTACAACCTCTCAAAAACATTAGCAAATCAATCCTTCTCAGCTAGCAAAGCATCTACACACAGTCAGGTCCTTTCTTCATCACATGAATTGTTCATCAATCAGTAATCGTCACTACAGGAGATACCCTCATAAAATACAACTATCTGATCTGAACAGAAGATACCAGTTCTGATTTGTATCTGTTTGAGACTCTACAGATACAGAGCATTTAAATCACCCCTTTGATCTCTTTGCAGCTGAAAGCCTTCCTATGGCAGCTGGATAGTTACCAGCACATGGCTCCCCAAAATTTGGGGTCCATACGAGTGTATCCTAAGGGTAACAGACATACAGAATTAAGAGTAGCTTAATTTTTGCTTTTTCTGCACTGCCTCTCCACCATTACATTCAAGAGAACACAAGTCAAAAGGAAAGGTAATGGCTAACCTCTGTATCACTGACTTGATAAGACAGACAGGTGAATACTTAATCTTATTGAAACTCCCTCTTCCTTAATACCATATGCTCCTTTGCTCAGCCTCAAACTTTTGTAAAGGGTGCAGAGAACCAGCTGCTCTGAAACCCAGTGCTCTTCATTCAGACCTTTTCAAGGGCAGTTGAATCATCTAATATCTATAAAGCAGTTTTTTTTTCTGACTCATTGAGAATCGCTACTCAAGGAGAAAGGAATTTTAAAACAGTAACCCTACACTATCCTCCCCCAGCCATATTCTAAGCACTTCTGTAACATAGGAATTTGAGGTAGCTACCTTGCACAACTTACAAATAAAACTGAGACTGGTGATTAGACTAGGAAGTATGTGGTAATGGTAATAGTGCCATCAATTGCTCCTCTAAGCACCACAGATTTTTCTCATGGCTACGACCACTGCATATGGCTTTGCAGAAACTGATTACATAGCCTCTTGAAAACACTGGATTCTGTTTCAGTTAAACCCAGGAAAGAGCTCAGTGGCTTCGTTGTCATTGTCAAAATCCTACTAATGAATAAAACAAAATCAGCAAATAAACATGACGATGCATAACACTCCCTTGCATCTGTTTCTAGAAAGCATAAGAACACTTGGCTTGAAACCTCATCTCTGCAAGCTACCTGACAACAAGCTTCTGAAACATTACTTTGATGTAGCTAATTCATGCTGAATCTGTAGTTCCTTACAAGACTAGGAGATTCTTGCCAGTGTCCTTAGAACATGAGCTTAGCCCTTTATACAATCTCCATAAAGCAGTAGTACCATGACTCTTCTACAATGGTAACAATGATAATTGGACAGACACTTCTGTCAGTGTATAGGCACTAGACTCTTGTTACAAAGTAGTTCTAACTTTCACAGGAATTCAACCCACTCCTAAAAAAAGCAAACAAACGAAAAAACATTCAGCAGTTCCAGAATTCAGTATTGCCTTGAATGCATGAAATGAGCATTTTGTCTTCCCCTTCTAAACAGACAGACTAAGCCGTACAGCAAGGTATTATCTTCAGCATCTCTTCTCCCCAAGCCTAGACATGTTTGCAGAGCATGCCTAACAGTAGCAACATGTCTCAGCAGAACTTCACAACTCCCCATTTCAAAAGATGAAAAGCCTTCATGTCATCTCCTCTCCTCCCTAAGCTACTGCCTCATTATACACCCTGATGCTTCATTCACTGACACATGGTTGTCCTTTCAAAAGCTACTCCAGAAATCACAGCCATCACTACACTTGGAGATGCTCAGCACATGGAAATGCAAGTTACAGCCAGCCTTGAGAAAGATGCTTGTTTGGAGAGTGCAGATAGGTGCAAAAGTGTTATTTTTTCTAACAGAACTAGCACCAAGCCCTATTTCTGCAGAGCATGTGCCTTCTGCACACCAAAAATTTACCGGAATGAGAAGGCCAAGTTAAGCGAGATACCTGCCAACAAATAAGTGGAAAAACCCAGGTGTCACAGCTCAGATTAACAACATGCTCCAACCCTTAGACATTCAGCCATCTCAGCTGCAATTTACAGTCATTTAAAGCACCAGAAACTGCTCTATTGCTTAAGATAGAATATTATTATATATGGCACTTGAGCTTTGTTCAAAACTTTTTTTTTTTTCCTAAGAATAATACTAAGTAGGTTTCTAGGGCAGCTTCGAAACGTATCAAAGAAATTTAAATTTTGATTTTCTCCAAATTAACTTATTCAGACTTGCATTAAATAAAGCTGCTACATATTAACTCCCCAGCTATTCAACGTCTGAGGCTGATGCTGATAGTATCTAACTATGCTTGTTATCTGATAACATCAGTAATTTACTACTAGAAAATCAGGACTGTTTCACCAGTTCACTGGCTTTACAACTGTAAAATGCAGGAACATAGAAATTCCAATTAGTGATGGGACTTGTTATCAGTGTTTAAGAGCAAAGAACATGTTTTCTGGATCTCAAGGCAATCCAGCCCACAACCAAAAAGCTTCTCAGGAATAAAAATATAAAGAGTTATTTACACTCAGCCAAACTGGAAAAATAAAAGAAAAAACATTCACCTCTTGTTTTGATACTTGTCTGTCCTGGCCAAGGCTTTTCCAGTGCCACTTATTCTTCTTATCTAAAATAAAAATTTAGAAGTGAAAAACAAATTACTCATAATGAAAACAATTCACAACAGAAGTTTCACAACCTTTGAAGGGAATTAAAAAATTGAAAGATAAGCGGCTTTTATTGGTCAGGCTCTGGCGTAACTATGAGTCTTACACCTGGAAGTAGCATAATGACAGGGAGGTAACCAGGGTGAAAAAGGCATGTGTCTCTCTAATATGGCTCTTCAAGAAGCCAATGCAATTAAAGGGCATCTAGTACAGGATTGAACATATCACAGCCACATGCATCATACCTCTAAATTCACAAGACCAACTCAAATTTGTGCACTTTTTTTTTTTGCAAGGATAATCACATGTCAGGGCAGGTATCACACTATACCTGGCATATAGCCAACCTTAAAACCACAGCACAGGCTCAAAACTTGATTTGGATTAAATTTGCAACTGTCAGGTAATCACCTGGTGCTTTGGTATTAACAAACCTGTCTCCATGCTTCTGTTTCCATGGGAAGTATTGCCTCTCATGAAATGCTCAGAGGAGTAGGCAAGTTTTTCTGGATTCTTTTTTTTCTATGCTAGCAATGCCAGCACTACAGCATTAGCATTGGATCTTCTAGCTTAGAAGACTGCACCCAGTCGTAGCTTGCAAGATCACATGCAGAAGGCACACCAGCTAAAAGAGGGAAAGTGAACCCGACAATTGTTCCAGCATGCTGTGCCAATGGCAACAGATGAAACAGCACGTAAAGAGAGGCAAAACATGTATTAGGTGATGGGAGGGTAATGCAGCAATTTGCATCTTCTCTGCTGTAAATAACATCTTGCTTTGGCTGCTGAATACTAAACATCCCGTGTTCATTTTGGGGAACAACACGATACCAATCAAACTTTTTTCTAAGGGAGAAAGGAAGAAGCTATGAAGTAACAATATACCTTTACAACTAATACAGAGATACAGTAGATCGTAAGTATATGATTTTACTTTCTCAGAATCAAGACTTTTCAGTATAACATATTTGAAGACAGGCACATAAACAAGAAAAAATGAGATACAAAAGGATGCAACAAGCTTACAAACCCTACTGCTCCGGCCAAGGCCAGGAGAGACTACAGAAATACAATGACACTAGCAAAGACTCTGAAAGCAGTTTATCAAAAAATATGATAGAAACTTAAGAGGTATAGGAGACAGATTTTTCAAGAATGTCAGCTTGATGCAGTCCTCTACTGTACTTACCCCCCTCTCTTCCAAATGCCTCAGTCTCGTTTCTACTTTTAATCTGTTCTCAGCTCCCATTTCAGCACTTGTATCCTCTCCAAGGGCATCATAACGAATAGTTAAGGCAGTCTTAGCTGCCAGCATTCGAGAAATCTGCGCAAGGCCAAAATATTAAATGCTAAGACTGAACATAAGGGGATGATTCACTCTGATCTAGAAACCATACCCACAAACAGAAGAACAAAGCAACCATTTACTAGTAGCGTTTAATCAAAAAAAAAAAAAAAAGCATATCATTCTTCAACACTGAAATACTGTTAATTTAACACCATATTTTCTTCGTAAGGGAGTAACATCCAAACCTAGCAAATCACACTTTCACCCTGATGTGTTAAAATACCTAAGCACTTTAAAGCAAGCCACGAAAGTTACTACCTTTAGCAAACAGTACACATTTGATTTTTAAGCAAGACTAAAACCTGTCACGGCTTACATAGTTTACTATCACATAGAAGGAAGTAGTAACATACACATTGAGAAAACTAATGTTACATCACAACTTAGCAGGAATGCATCTGTTGTTACTTGGTTATGTTGATGGACAATCCCATTCCCCTTTCCCAACAAGAACAAATGACACCCAAAGATTCGTGGGACAGTGGCACTTTCCACATAATCACAAAGCACAGGAGAGCAGGCCATGGAAAGCGTCTCAATGTGAAGCTCAAGCAACCAACAGACTTACATGCTTCAAAAAAGCCAACCCTGTAAACTGTTCTGCAACTCACCTTTCCTTTGTTTTTAGCAGTGGTTTGTCCCACCAGAGAAGCATGATAGATAAGGCCAAATTTAGGTGTGTCCCGCTTCGTCTTCAGTGCTCTGAAGAGTGCCTTCTCAGCACCCAGTATCTGAACCGTTGAAGCTGGATGTTTTGCCAGATTCAAGAGGGAACCTAGAAAGAGATGGCACAGAGACAGTGATTTTTCAGATGAGCAGCTAAACAAGCAGGATGCTAGACTCCTAAAGCATTCAAAAGCAGCAAGCTCAGAGCCATCTGTTTCTCTAAGGGCTGCTTCAAGCTCATTTCCTGAAGGACAGGTAAGCCATTTCAATCTTTCATGCTTAAATTAACTATCTTGGTGCAATTTCAGCAATAGAAGTCTAACTCAATAAAACATAGTCCTGGCAGCAATAATGCATTAACCACACAACTGAAGCATAGATAACCCAAAATAAGGTTGCTAACTTGAGATGGTCTGACTGTAAAAGCTTAAAGCCAGCTTTTCATTATCTTATGTCAATAGTTACTGGACTATCAGCAGGGAACTCAGTGTCTCAGAAGAGGTAGTGACTTAAGTTGCCCTCATATTCCAAAGAGAACTCAGGCCAACCAAGAACTACATCATCACAGACTACTACCAAACCAAGCTCATGCTGGTATTCTCAAGACTCCTCAAGAACCACGTTCCTTTTAACAAGAGGTGCTCATCAGGGCCTTGCATAATGCTTTTAGCTGACAAGCTCCTCAGAGAAAACCTCTGATTAGGTCAGCTAAGCCAGTATGACCCACCTGCGTGAGCAATTAGCCTTGCTCCAACCAGTTCACCCACCATGACAGTGAGATTAGGAGCGATGGCCATCATTCTGTTCTTCAGGTAGTCATACAGCTGTGTCCGATACTCGGAGATTTCAATCACCTGGCAAAGACAGAGGTTGGTTACAGGAATCAGTATTAGCTGACAGACAAATCTAAGAGGTAAATGTATTGAAAGAAGAAGTGCTGAGAATTCTAACCAATGAGGCTAATGGTGCAAACTGCAGACAGACAAGAACCACAGTAACAGAAAGCTTTATATCGGGCATACTCCCAGAGCAGAGCTCTGTCCACGAAGTACATTGGATCTGTATTGCTCATTCCTCTATACAACTTATTTTCTCAGCAAAGCTCCTGACAAAGCAGCTGACAACATGCCAAAGACAGCGAAGCAGAAGAAGAATTCTTAGTAAGGACATTTTCTTTAGGACAAAACCTTTGGAACATTTAGTTTTCACATAAATCTTTGCCACCATTCTCTTGAAATAGGATAAATGCTCTGTACTTCTCCTATACAAATACACACAATTAGAACACACATAAAAAAGCAGCCCAGTCTAGACCAAGAACAGGAACTCACTACTCCTAACCCTGCCACTCCCTGGTAAAGTCACAATTGGCACCACTGAAGTCAGAAGGAATTCACAGGCAGTACAAATGGAAGCAGGATAGGGCTCTTAATTCTTTTTGGACTTCAGTGTTCTGCTTTTAACCCAGGGTTTATGACCTAACTTCAAAACTGACAGGTTAGAAAGAGGCTGTACGGTACCATTCTTCCAAGAGCTTAAAACAACACTGACATCAAAATCCTACTCAAAAGTAAGACTACCACGTTCAGAAGACTTCATGCAGGTACCAGCAGTCTGAGATGGCTCAGATGAGGTAGTGACTGTGCACCCTCATGTTCGTACATCAGGAAAGCAACAATATAGGAATCATCACTGCCATCATAACTGTATTAGAAAGGCCTGGGAAAATCTCTCCTTGGCAGAAGAGGCTCTAATATTGTTAACTAACATTGAGTTCCTACTGTTATTCACATACATGCACATACCTGATCGCAGAGATGGATTATGTTGTTTATATCTTCTTCTGATACTTCTGTCCCCATGGAAATCTCAGCAGCAGCTTTCACATCCTCTTCGATCTCCTCTGGTAGGATGTCAGAAACATCAGAGGAGGCAAAGTTTCTTCTGTCTCCTGCAGGGGACAGATGAAAGCATGTTTGCACTGGTGGCAAGATGAACAAGTACAAAAAGAACAGAGACAAAGATAAAAGGCCAAAATAACAAACAGTGAGTCAAGTGTGCCATCATCTTATTCTAAAGCCCCAAAACGTGCTAATGCTCAGACTCTGTTTATACTATCTGAGAATGGTTAGAAAGATTAAATTTGGAACTAGAAAAAAAGACTTCGTTTTGTGACACTAAACACTTCACCTTTTCAGTAGCTGATGGCTGCAAAATTTTCAGTCAAGATTAACAAAGGAAGAATACCAGGAAGCGAGCAGTCATTTACAACTCACCAGGCCTAAGTAATTCTTCCTACAATCAGAAAAAAAAAGTTCCCTTAAAACCACAAGTTTTTCTCTTAACTGCAAAATTCTTATTAAAAGAAAAATTTATGTAAAATACATGCCTAAGAGGAAAAGCAAGGGTCCAAAATAATGTATTCACTATTCTTTCTGTTATAATGAAAACATATAGCAGCTGTAGTCTCAGAGAACAGCCACAAAGAGGCAGTGACTCTCTTGACATCAGTGTTTGGCAGCTCATTTCCAAAATGATGTGCTACTTGTGACTGTAAGAATATAAGCTCGTGGTCCATGAAAATCTGGCTGGTCATTTGCTACTGTTTTTTTAATAAGCTTCAGAATTTTAAATTGCATCAAGATAGAGACAGCATATGCTACTTTTCTACCAGCCCAGTTCTTGATGGCAGGATTGTGTATGTGATCATGACTCGCTGGATGAGCGAGTGGCTGGTCTACAAATCTGTCATAATGCATTGTATACTAACATGAAACATACTCCAGGCTCATGCCTCCTTATTACTCACCAACTTTCCGCACACATTTACAGTACGTTAGGTTATCTGTGATGATTTTACCCAGCTCAGGGAAGTGCCAACCATACCATTCCCTACAGCGCATAATATAGTTATTCAGTTCTTTGTCCAAATCATCAAGAAGTGCTAAGAGAAAGAAGAATGGACTTCTATTACTTGAACGTAATCTAAACATGGAAAACTCTTAAATCAACAAATTTAAATAATGTAAAGGGCAGTAACAAAAGTATTTTATCCTTATAAAGACTTCCTGGAATGAAACACAAGCTGCAGTACGTTAGAAGTCCTAACTCTTCAGAGAGCTGCACAATCTTAGGCACAATATTGTAGAAATATTAGAATTCCCCTGAGTGCAGCCTGGAAGTTTCATCACTGGGACCATCTTGGACAACAGACCCCTGCAACAGCTGTAAAGCACATTCTCCTGAAAGGAGGGCAGGAGCTAGCGTGACTTTTCCTCTTAGTGCCACCCACACAAGACTGATGCAAAAATCGTCCATCTAATAAACTTTATAGAAAAAGCCTGTAATTGTAAGAAACTCATCTTGTATTCAGTTACTTGACTGTAATAAGCCCTTTAATTGCCTTTATAAATATATCCGACAAATCCAACGGGCTCACCAGTTACCAGATATGACCGATAACTGGATTTACGACATCGCTGTAACACCCACAGCGTATATTGCTACAGAGCCCTGAGGCTAAAATATTTCCCGCTAACATAATACCAACATTCCCATCTGTTGTCTCAGTGGTAGTGACGAAGGAGCTGAATTAAATCATTATTTTCAGCTTAACTATGTTTCATCATTGACAACAGTCTGGGAATTAATATTCCAAACAGGATTCCTCACTACTACCTCACAGCAAGTACACTGATCACGATGTTGATGTCAAGGTAAAATGAGGAATAGGCTTTCCTAACTGTGTTTACAATTTCAGTCTTTTCCATTACGAAATCAAGGACATGAAATACAGCATTAAATACTGCAGTTTTTGTTGTTTTTTTTTGTTGTTGTTGTTGTTTTTTAATATATCTAACGTAAGAGTGTCTCCACATTACCCTCTATGCAAGCTACCACCAAAATGAAGACTCAGGAAATTCTGACTGTGGGGCCCTGACACTCTCCCAAAATTACTCAGAGGCAAGGCATGTTGGAAAGCAAAGTCCTCAGAGGGCTGAACACTGCCTGCTAATCTCCATGCTAAGAAAATGGACATCAGTTTACTGTATCACCCTAACAGTGTCTCTGCTTGTGGCAAACCCTATTAAGGAAACAAACCCTAAGCCTAGCTGAACAGAACTACCCAATTTACTGACAAATGCTAGGAGGAAATTGACAGCAATACTTTTCTGTAACCATTGTAAAGAAGTCAGCTATCTTAAGCTGAATCCATGAATAATTTAAGCTGTAAAAATACTTACAAATTGCCTGGACGATCATGGTATCTACTTTGTCTGGGCTGAATTTCAACTTGTATCGGGAAAGGCTGGGGAAGACAAAAGTACAGTTTCATCAGCCTCCTGACATCCCACCACAAAGCATACCCTGCTTGCTCCTATTTTACAGGAGTATGGCTGCCCATACATTCATTCAATTTTATCTCACTGACCACTCTCACCTGTGACCAGTGGCGAAGTCCAGCTGACACATGCTTTCACAACAGCTGTGACATCTGTACATGCACACATGCTACAAACAAGGTGAAAGGGAAAGCTAAGGCTATCTGTACCACATGCACCAGTGAACGCCAACACTAAGGCAGGCTATTTCCTGATGTTGGTTTCTTTCTGCATGGTTCCCCGCAAAAGCTATCTGTCAACAGCACTTCTAGTTCTGCAGTGGTTGGAGGTGATCCACAAAATGCTACTTACCCAGCAGCAAATACCAGCAATGCTAGTAAAAGAAACTTGCTAGAAAAGATACATTCTCACTGTTTGGAAAAGCCTATTTGCATTTGACTTTCCATGTATGTTTAAAAGTTTTCAGTATACTACTGAAGCATGATAACACTGAGGACTTCCATCTTGAAAGTACTTTTTCAATATTAATGACTATTTTCGAGGCATCCTAACAGCAAAAAATACATTCTTAAAGAATTAGCTACACCAAAACATGTCAGAATATTAAAAGCTACTCATGAATGTTTGACCCTGTGCTGATCCAACAGTTCTGTATTTAACTACTTCTCCACTAAACCTAACAAGATAATGATGCAGAGAGGGGAAAGACATTATATAACGTATATATGACAGTGTAAATTAGCAAATCACATTCTTCCCATCTCTAAGTGGCAGCAGAATTTTAAACAAACCATACATGGCTTGTTTTAATGGTTGAAACTGCTACAGAGACATTTCAAACAAAATCCTATAGTACACAACATGCAAAAAGAAGCTATCAACTGCCTTTGGGAGAGGTTGATGGGTTTCCTTAGAGTGTGAGTGCAAATCTTTATAAAACAAGACTCCAGATACAAAGGCATAGTGACTTAGAGTGAATATTAGGCCATGCCATGCACTCAGACACTTCAAGTATAACATGGCTAAGGACAAAGGAGGGGAGAAAACATGGGATGAAATAAAGGTGTTCTAGGAACTCACCTGTGTGCGAGACCCAGACACATCGCTGCCATCTCTCGAGAAGGAAGGCCTGTAATAAGCCCTTCAATCTGTGAACGGATTCCTCTCATCAGCTCTGTAACCATTGGGCTGTGTATACAACTCAAATTCAACTTATCCTGCAGAGTAGAAATCAATGATCCAAGTCAATGATGACAACTGCATTCCTCTAAAGCCCTTCTTCCAGTAGCCTTATCTTAGTAAAATCAGCTTTCCCACTCCTATCCTATGGTCACTCAACAGGTCCAGTCTTCTCTGATGCTCAAGGCAGTGATACTCTCAGTTCTCTACACTGTAACAATCACACAATTTGAAGGGGAAATTTACAGTTAAGGCTCTAAGACACCAGGAAATTAAAACCAAAGATTTTGCAGTTTATTAAAAGAGTTTGGCTACAGAGAGAAAATTCAAAGATAGAGTGTTCAGATTTTTAGGTTGTGGGATCTTTTTCAGAGCACAAAACTGAGTAATTATTTCACTGTCCTTGGCAATATTCACTTCAACATGGAATCCTACTCCTTTTGCATCCCACGCCAATCTCCTAAGACATGATGAGAACAGGGTCAGAATAAAAGTCTTTGGAACAGGCAACATTCAAACACAGGACAGGAATCTAGGATTTGACACCTAGGAGATATCAGAGAAAGCAGACCACCTCTACTGTACTTCTTCCTTCCACTGGTAGACAAGAACTGAAGGACACGTTTGATCACAAGGATTAGCTATCTTCCATATCACAAACAAAACACGTTCCATTATTAACAACTTTAAAATCTCTGGAACCTGTCTGTAAGATTTCAGTAGCATGAGACAAAAGAAAAATGGCAGTCACTTATCACCTTTATGACACCCCCAAGTTTGGCATCTGCTACAGCCAATTGTTCATGAGCATCTTTTGCCACTATCTTCTTCAGAATTTTCTTCAAGTTCTTGCTGAGCTTGCCTTCTACAAGAGCTGTGGATGCTGTAGAAAAAGAGAAGACCAAAGATGTAGTTTCTTTCCTTTCCTAAAACCTGTAACAATAGGACCTCTAATTTAGTGCTTTTAGTTTGACTGCCCACCATAGCTCTAGTCTGAGCTGCAGTACTACTTTACTATGAAATATCTAGAATCAATAGAAGAAAATTGTATCCTTGCCGTTTTGAAGGCCCAAATCAAGAACCCTTCTCCCAGTTGCCTCACCTTTCTCTGTGTCCTTTTAGTTTTATTTCTTTCAATTTTAAGGAATTTTACATGTACATCATATGCTTTAGCTATAGGTTTCACATTTCAGAAAGCAAGGTTTTAATAGAACATTTTGTTTGTGATTTAATTAACCAGCCATTTTCCAGGTCCCTTAGTCCACCGCCACAATATCTTAAATTGAGTAACAGCTTATTTGCATCCTCTGCTGATGATAACCATCCATCAAAGTCCAACAAAGAACAATGCCAAGCACACTGACTGGGAAGTCAGACACAAACCCTTTTAATACACACCATGCAGACTAAAGAGTTTTAAAGGGACTTTTTTGTACTCAAGTATTAATAGATCTGTAAAAGCTTTACAATCCCACACAATATATTTTAAGATGGCACTTATACAACTCTCTCTGCAGGTCAGCTTTGTGCTCCACTGAACTGTGATTGATGTAACATCTTCATCATAGTATATATAGCAGAAGCCAATGATTTTTGACTTCCAGAACCTTAATGAAATGTAAGGGTAAAGATCTAAGTGCTGTGTTCAGATTCCTCCTTCCTCTCATCCGTTCTATAATGGAGATAAGTCATGAAGCTTTCAAGCTAACCAATAATTCCTAAGCCACTTAAAACAAGCAGATCATTTTCCCTTCAAAATAAATGTGACATAAGTAGTCTGAGTAATCTCCCCCCTTTCCCAAATAAACCACAAACTCTACTACTTCACTTCAGTTTTACTTTTTTTTTTTTTAAATCCTGACACTACACGATCTGAACCTAAAACTAAGAAAAAGCAACATATTCCAAAAAAACATGCCAGGTAGAGAAAAACATACAGCAGCTTCAATCTCAGCCATTTTACTTGTGTGTATAGCATCTCCATTTTTAAACTGCTTCCTTACCTTCCATCATAAACTATCCCTGCTACATCTGATTATGAAGATCCTTTCTTTGATAGTGTGATGTTTAACATACACTTACAGAAGTCATACAGTAACAGTGAATTCAGCAGTAATAAGCATGCCATCCCCGAATGGTTAGCTGGCTCTTTTATCATTTGTGTTCAAACCAGTCTGCTGTGTCAAGTTATTTGAGTGTTTAAAGAGCAAAAAAAGCGAAGGCCTTATATTCAATAAACTGCTGAAATTCATTAAAGTGCAATACAAGCATTTTTTGCAAGAAAAAAACAGGCACAACATGTCCATAAAACAAGAGCATTTGTAATATATGTACTCTGATATCCGTCTGTTGTCTCAGTGGTAGTGACGAAATGTAGACTCGTATCACTTACATTCAGTTCCAACAAGAATCCATCATTGACAACAGACTACATACCTCAGTCCAACTTCTACACGATGCTCATCAGGAAACTACTTGGGCAATAATGGTAATAAAAAAAAACAAACTTCATTATGTCTCTGCTACACTACAGACTGAGTGGATGACATCAAAACAACAAAAACAGTTGCCTTTGAAAAAAAAAAAAGTATGAACTAAAAACTAAGCAAAGGAAAAACACAGCAAGAACAGAGGCAAGTAATGAATGAACTAGTGTGGCGGGTTTGGTTTTGGTAAGAACAGCATTAACTCTCACTTACCAGCAAGAGCTTCTGTTGTGTCCTGAAACTTCTCAAAGTGTTTCAGCTTTACTCTACAGAAGAAAAAAATACACATGTAAACAAATGTACATAAAAGAGATGCTAGAATTAACTTTTTTTCTCCTGTCCCCACTACTGTAGTCTTACAGACAAGACAGGAACTGTAAAAGAACAAGAAATCAATACCCAGACCCTCAAAAAAGGAGGGAGAGCGATAAACGTGCTGATTAACTCCAAACCTGATGTAACTTTTCAGCTGCGCCCCATAAGCTTGTTTTCAAGGAGGAATTTTGATTTAGTATTTCTATTTAAGATGAACACAATCAGAAAACCTAAGCCACCTTTTCATTTGTAGTTCATAATTAAGGACAGATACCAACCATCTGAATTTCAAGACAGCAGCACTCTGATTAAGTAGGTGTCACTGCTGACTGATGATACTATCTTCCCACTCATCTTCAAAAGGGAACCTTTTGCCTCTGCGAGCAGCCCAGATTTAACTTGCTTTTCGACCAAATACACCTTCAAAGACGTTAAAAGTGAACCCATTCATTGCCCATGAATCCTCAAATCCTCCCTTGTAATTAATTATATGTTAGAACACAAGTTTTGAGTTGAGCTTAAAACAAACAACTACCAAACAGAAAATTCTTTCATGCCCAAACTGCTGACTGGAGCCAAAATCATATGAACGGTGTTTAAATACACCGTGCCAGCTCCTTAGGCTCAAGTTCCTTCTCCCCCTCACATAATCTGTGGTGTTGATACCTAGAGCTAAGGTTAAGAAGCTATCACAATTCAGTAAATTCCTTGTCAGGGACAGGCATTTGACTAATCCAGTTCTGATTAACCACTGCTCTTTGTGAGTCAAGTATCTGCAAAAGCAGCAAGGTCACAGATAAAGCTGAATGCTACAGCTAAGAACTCAAGCCCAACAAAAGCTCCAGGCTTATTTTGGTGCCTTTTCATAAACACATGAAATACACGAACTAACTGAATCGGAGCACAGATCCATTAGAAAGCCACATCCTCTCTAGCAAGGGGCCAAGATGATGTTTCCAAGACAAGACTAACAACACTACAAACTGACAGATGTGGGATATTCTGTCCTCTCCTCTAAATACTCCTCCAGAGAAGGGTAAATCTGAAATGCAAGGCATAGCTTGTTCAGAGGTATCTGTTCTAACCAGAGCTGGTTAGAAGTTTTCCAGTAAAAACACCCTATATGGACTTGGCAGGAATTCACCATTGTTCCCAATCTCAGAATGATTTGCTAGAAAGGCCAGCTTGATCACCACACACTGCAACCCCCGTGCAGCTGCTCAGTGGCACTAACAATCACTGATGGTATTGGCAACAAGACTAACCCTCAATTTACAGGATTCACATGCTATTAGTTTCAGATGGATTAAACCTTTTTTTATTTCAATAATTTCCTGTGAGCACAAAAATCTTATTTCAGCCAGTTTCAGCATTACAAATTCACATATTCTTGTCAAAGCATTCAAATCGCCCCTCAATATTGTTCAGCTTTTTGCTTCAGTGGTATATAGCTCTTCTGCGGCCAAATTACACTGCAAGTTGAAAAAATATATATATTTCTTTCACTCACTCTGATATTGCACCTCAAGTTTGTCTCAGTATCTGATTTCACATTACTGTTGCTCATGCCTTTTAAGTTTTAAAATACTGAAAAATGAAAATCAATACTTCTTTCTGAACCTCAGATATGCAGAACTACACAGGCAGTCGCGTCCTTCCAAAAGCCAAGCTGCCACCCCCACATAAGGCTGCTTACATTTTGTTTGCTTTTTCAGGAGTTTCAAATTCTTTCCATAAACTGTCAACTTCTTGGAGCTTTTTCTCATTAAGAACCTGTAGACAAAACAAAAACAAAACAACACAGTTATATTTAAAGCACTTCTGAACAATTTTCAAACCTGCATTCAGCACAGAAGACCTGAAACAGATTTATAGCATACCCAACTGCTGGAAGTTAATTCAACAGATTCAGTTAATTGAACCATGATTTCCAGTTTCACCATTCTCTCTCAGCAACTTTACCTTTATAATTCCATCCAGCATACAACAACATTTACAGCATTGAATTTACTTTCAACTGCATTGCAGAAGTTGCTCAATAATGGCTGGGTTCTTCTGAACCCGCACCATCTCCTCAAAGCCCTCTCCTTGTTTATCAAAACCAGGATTGCTCTACCACCTACAAGACTCATTCACAACCCCAGTGACCCAAAACCAAACCTGCCTCTGCTCTGGGAAAATACAAACATGTCTGGGACACCTCACAGGAAGGAGCGATCCCACAAGTTATTGTCATGAATTTGAGCTAACCCAAGGAAGAAAGAGGATGTCTCTAGATAGATGACTTCTTCACCACAGCTCAGTAATCAAATGAGCCAAAAATTACTTAAGAGGCTGCAATGGCTTAATCCCAGCTCTGGTCAAAGGGGATCTCCTTTCAGTCTTTAAACAGCAGAAGAATAACAATTACAGTCCTAGATCCTACACACATTTCATAAAATGCCAAGTGTACTGCAAATTCCTAGAAAAGTTCTCAGGGGAACAACATGGGCAAGATCCTTACAACATTATGTTCTTTAATACCTCAGTCAAAAATATTGTGGTTTTGTTGCTGCAACTTAGATCCAACACAACTGCCATTTGACTAAGTGCAGTGCAAAGAATCGTTCCAGGGATTACAAGATTCTGCTCCCTTGCAGATTTTTGAACACAGGTCAAAGAAGGCCGTATTTTTTAAACTGAATTAGTAGTTGAGCAAGTAAACACAGTAACTCATCTCTCACAGGACACTGAAGCACAAAAAGCCCTTTGGGCAAATCTTCCTTTGCCCAGCCTCTTGCCTCTTTGCTACAGTTTGTCCTTTCTATCCCGAAGATGATGGAATTGTCACCTTCTATGAACAGACGTGGACACACAGAGAAAAATATATACAAGCTGCTAAACTGAGGTTGCTAGCATATAAAAAATATGGCTACCTACAGACGTTTTATGCACCACATGATAGCAAGACTCATTGGGAAGAGCCCTCTGAGATCTAGAACACGGTTATGCTATTTGCCCTTTCTTTTTAGGCTCTTTGTTTCTTCAATAGGAGCAACACCAATAAGGGAATAACTGAGACCTACCCTGTTTTGAGAGGAAGATAGCTCTTGACCACCAAAACATAAAGGTAGAGCAGTTATGCTAGCTATGAATACCTGTGGGTACTGCTAAAAATGGGAGTGGGCGACCACAACTATTTCTAGAGTTTCAGAAGCCCAAATTCCATCCAGCCCTCAAATAATTAAAAAATAAACAAAACAGCAGCAGCAACTATCTCTAGAGGTGGCTTTAAAAAGGAAAAAAGCAAACTGAAGCTAAACTCTACAGGGAACACTTTGATAGAGGATGGATGTACAAATGTAACTACATAAATTTGCAACTACTGTGTCTCAGAAAAGAGAGCTCTCACTGCCCCACAGACATGCAGTGTGGCTATGACTCTCCATATTTAGCATTAGCACTGCAAACAGAACGAGAATGGAAAAACAACGCCTGTCTCAAAACATGTATTTTAATAAAATACTGTGTATGCTCAGGTCCAGCAGACGGTTCCCAGCTCTATCGCAATCTAAGCCAGGCACCATTTGCAATCCGCTCTCTCAGACAGGAAGTGTTTAAAGCCTGCTTGTGAACGCTGCTGCTTGCTGCCTGGTGCCCTCTAGCTGCCTTGCACACGCACCACAGCCAGGCACCATGCCCCAGCTGCTGACATCTACACTCGTCTGCTACTGCAGCACTTCTGCAGAACTTCTGCATTTCTCTTTGCGCATCTCTCTCCTCTTACATTTGCTTTATGTCGACTTTGGCTGCACTGATTATAATACGGGCTGTTTTCAGCCCCTCCTGTAGAGTCACAGAAAAGAACCACAAAACATCCCAAGTTGGAAGGGGCTCAGAAGGGTCACTGAGCCCAGCTCCTGGCTCCACACAGGACCAGACAGAAATCTGACCACGTGTTTAAGAGGGCTGTCCAAGCACTCCTTGAGCTCCAGCAGTCTCAATGCCGTGACCACGGCCCTGAGGAGCCTGTCCCACTGCCCGACCACCCTCTGGGTGCAGACCCTTTCCCTAACCCCCAGCCTGACCCTCCCCTGTCCCAGCTCCATGCCGTTCCCTCGGGTCCTGTCGCTGTCCCCAGAGAGCAGAGCTCAGCGCCTGCCCCTCCGCTCCCCTCATGAGGGAGCTGCAGGCCGCCATCAGGCCTCCCCTCATCCTGCTCTGCTTGGGGCTAAGCACACCAAGAGACCTCACTGCTCCTCATACGCCCCGGCCCCTTCGCCGCCCGCTCCGCCGTTCTCCCGCGTGGCCACGCGGGTGGCCGAGCCGAGCCGAGCCAGGCCGGGCCGCATGGCCGCCCCCATCTGGGCGCAGGACCCCGCGCGCGGCTCGCCCCCCGGCAGCTGCCCGCACCTTGAAGATGGCGTACCCGGCGGCGGTCTCGAACAGCACCAGCATGCTGCCGGCTGGCGGCGGCGCGGCCACGTGCGCGAGCGGCGCGGGCCCGAACCGCGGCCTGAGCGGGAGCGCGGCGGAAGGGGCGGGGCGGGGGCAGCGGCCCCGCCGGAACCGCTCCCGCCGGCGGGGGAAGCGCCGCGCGCGCCCGCGGGACACGTGGCGGGCGGGAGCGCGCGCGGCGCCGCTGCCCCCTAGCGGCTGCGGAGAGCCGGCAGCGGGACCTTTCCGTGCTGTAACCAAACGATGTCCAGGAACTCGTTACCACAGAGGTGGCATTCAGCTAAAAGGGCAATTTCCAGGTTCTCTCTACTTCTAAAGCACTGCTTCAGTGCTGCTGGCTCAGGGAGTCCCTTAGAACACGGTATCCATCATTTTTACCAACACTAACCCCTCCCAAACACCTGCACTGCTATTACGAGATTACAGATTAGCTGTAGGTTGAAGGTCAGCTTTAGGAAAGCTGTTTTCGACAGACCAGAGAGCCTTTGTGCAGCATAGGTAGGCCAATAGGTTTAAAAATACTACACTACTTGCCTCTTGAACTGCATGCACAGCTGTGGAGAAGGAAGTTAAACTCCCATCTGAATTACTGGAGGTGAATGATAATTGATTTCAGCTGTTTGACATTAGTTACAAATGAGAGAAATTAGAGAAGTGATACTGCACCTGAGAATTAAGCGAGGTTATTAAAGGAAGTAATGCAGGCTCGGTGGTGGCTGCAGAAGCAAGAAGGGCTTTGGGCTTTTTGGGAAGGGACTTAGGTAGTGTTTTGTTGTTTTTTTTGTTTTTTTTTTTTTTTTTTAAAGTGTTATTTTTATTTTTAAATGTGTTCTCTGTTGTGTTTAGGCTGCTAAAAAATGAAACTATGAATTCTGTTGACATGCCTGTGTCTTATGGGCTGAACAGAGACCAGTTTTGCAGGTACTGCACCAATACGGTTTGTACCCTGGGGACGTAACATATCTGTAACCACAGTGAGTAAGAAGGGGCAGAGAGTCAGCACTGCGGGTACTTAGCATGTATGCAGATTTCATTGTTATGCTTTTACGTTATGTATAGGGATAGGTAACTGAACCCCAGGTCGTGGGAGCTTTAGTTGTTATTACTGACTGTACTGTACGGAACAACAAGTAAATCTAAGAATTATGCTTAAGTTTATTGATAGTGTCTGAGGCTGTAGTGATGTCACTGTAAGGCCACTCTTCTGCTTTTAAACTTGGCTTTATTTGTGAGTAGAAACGATGTTTATAGTAATATTAAGTATGTCCTTTTTAATTCTCTTACTGCTGTATGTTGTTTTAAAGGTCTTAAATGGTTTACTTTGTTGGTTTCCATAGTGTTTTTGAACTCATAATTTGCTTTTACTCTCAGCTTGGTGTAGCATCAATAAAATTGACTTTCCTCCCTGCTAGGCTTTGTATGAAACAAGTCATCTTAATTGTGTAACTTTGTATAGTGTGTGTTTTCTGACTTTTTTTTCTTAGTTCTGATTGGGTTTAGTAGTTTTGTTTAAAACTAATTCATAAGAGTTTAAACATGGCATACTGCTTCACTGGCTAACAAAGGTGCATCTCCTGACGTTGTCACACTTGCAGCATGTCTTTCAGTCAGGGAGGCACAACAGCGCTGATACAAAGTGCAGCTGCTCCAGTGGCTGGTGTTACAGAAGAACCCAGTAAATGGAGGTTGAAGGCCATGTGGCTCGATGTGTTCTGCCCAGCGATGCCTCCTACCCTTCCCCCAAAGCAGCTGGTAAAGCTAACCTACCTAGCGATCACGCATCTCCTCTTCCTGCGGAGCTATTTTACAGTTCCATTACCCTTTTCCTGCCTTTTTTCGGGCCGGCCGGTGGAGCGAAGCCCTCCCCTCCCCGCCACCAGCCCCGGAGGGCCGTGAGCAGCCCGGGGGAGGCCGGTGGGGCTCGGGGGGGCTTTCGTGGGCGGCGGGCGGGGAGGAGCCGTGGGGCGGCCGTGCGGGAAGTGAGCTCAGGCGCACAGGAAATCCCGCCCGCGCCGCGGCCTGTGTTTGCGCTGCGGGCAGAGAAAGGAGCCGAGCGCCTGCAGCGGCCCAGCCGAGCCTGCCGCACGCCCCGGGGCCGAGCCATGTCTGACCAGGTACGGCCGCCCCCGGCCCGGCCCGGGGAGCCCCGGGCGGAGGGGAAGGAGCGGCGGCGGGGGGCTGCACGGCCCCGGGGGGCGGCGGAGGAGCTGCCCGGCCGCCCCTTGCGAGCCGCGGGGCCGGGGGGGCTCCAGGGGGGGCGCCCCGCGCTCCGCCCTCGGTCTGCTCCTCGGATGGGGCCGGGGCAGCCCCGGCAGCGGGGCCGCGATGCGGAGCAGCCGCTTCCTTTCGCTTTCCGCTTCCCGGCCGTGCGGCAGGGCGCTGCTCCCTGGAGCTGGCCCGGCCTGCCAGCTGCTCCGTTTGCCTGGGGAGCGGAAAAGGAAGGGGAAGAACCCAAACCTTCCCCGCTCGGCATTGCCCACATCAAACCCCACCGAGACCCTGCCCTCTCTTCTCGTACCTCGCAGTGTTGCTTCCCAGGCAGGGGCGCGAAGAGTTGCTCGTACAGCGAGCTCCCGCCTCGCTCGGCACGGTGCACGCACAGCCCTTTGCTGTATCTGTGGCTTTAGGCTATGTGACCTGCTGGTGAAAAGTTAAAACAGCATTGAGTTTTAATTTGTGTTCTGTTTCACTTGATCTCTTCTATTGCTTTCAGATGGCAGTGGTTTTTTAATCTCTGTGACAGTTTGGATTTGGAAAAATCAATGTCAGTGTCTACAAATGTCTCCTGCAATGTTGTGAAGTCCGGAATAGTTCTAGTGCCTGGCAGGAAATGAAAAGTATCCAAAACAGTATATACTGTGTCTCCCTAGCAGAATAGCCTTGATACATTGTGACCCGTGAATAAAAACCACTGCCTTTACCTACTAGTGGTTTTCTTCCCCTGGTGCAGCTCTGTGGGTGAGGATGCTATTGTCTGTCTCTGCCCCCTGAGTGTGCAGCTATGAGCACAGCTTGTTGCTGAAACTGATTAGGGTGCTCTTCCTGTGTAGTGAAATGCACAAAAGTGGCTGCATGTGAAGAAATAGTAAATTCTGAACTAGATTTTGAAGGCTGGTCTTCACATGACCCGTTCTGTAGCGCTCTGCGTTTGTGAGCTAAGGCATGTTTTAACACATAGCTTCCATTAGGTAATGCCTTCTCCAGCCCAGTCCCGGTAAAACACATACATAACACATACATGCTTGCTCTCTGGAGCTGCTTGAAGTGTACAAAACTCACTGTATTTGTTGTCCTTTTTGAGTGCTTATCTTAAATGGCTTTGGTTAATGACCCTAATTTATGTATTTATTGGAGATAAGATAAACCTTATCATATATTGTATCACACTGTTGGGGGGACTGTGCAACAACAGCTAAACAGCTTCTGAAGCACCCATGAAATGTACAGTAATGCAGAACTGTTGGTCTTATTCCTTTGTTTATCAAGACCACTGGAATAATCAAACTGCCTACAATTGTTCATTGCTTACAGTTAATTCCACGTCCCCAAGGAAGACAGTTCTTAAGATGACACCATTTGTCCCTAGTTGTAATTTTGGCTTGTCCTTTTAGGTATAAATCAAGAAGTGCACTTGATTTAGTTACTTTGATTCCAATAGGAAATTAACTTTTTTTTTGATAAAAGTACTTCTAAGAAGGACAAACTTCAAAGAACTCATAGCTGCTTGGTGGGATCTCGGCAGAGGAGAAGAAAAAAATCCCTGCTATGAAGAATCTTGGGCTGTTCTTGCTCTAATTGAATCTAGATGCAGGCATTTTTTCTTTTCATGTACAGCAAATACAGCACTATGTAATTTCTCATTCCTGTAACAAATGCAAGAGTTTATTTGCTAGGTTAGGAAGTGTGTTGTAATCTTATTCCTTTTATAATTTCGAGTTTAAAAGTTCTAAAGTATACTGAGTATGTTCTTTGTAAGTCTTAAACATTGAAGTTTAAGTACTCCAGAAAACTGGAGGAGGAAATCTGCAACCTACAACTTTACAATGCTTGTTTTGTGGTTTTGATAGCTGCAACAGCAAATACCTGGCACGCTCAGTGCATTTCATCCAATTTCATCAGATGTTTTAAGGTCGTTAGATTGGTGTTGATAGCAATGTGAGATAGTACTTCATGTTGTGCTCTTTAGGTTAAGCTGTGGCACAAAGCCTTTAAAACTTTAGGGATCTAATGTGAAGTTAGAACTTAGCATTGTGGTATTCCTGTGCTGTTTGTGTGGTGCTTTTCTCCATTTTTCATTTAATGTACATTTCATGATGCCCCAATAAACACTAGTTTTTTTCACAGTGTGAGTAAAAGTCTGGAGGTTGGCTTGTGGATTGTTTATCCAGGATTTTTTTAGCCAATGGTAGTAGTTTAGTAACTTGCTATCTCCTTGCTTTCTTTGTTCTTAAGTGTGTTTGTTTGTTTGGTTGTTTTTTTTGTTGCTGTTGTTACTGGCTTTACCATTTGGCATTGAATGGCAGTAGAGCTAGCACTGACAAAATGCAGGGAGCTGTTTCAGTCTTGATGGGTGTTGTGCTCTGGTTTCAAACCTTTTGTTTTTTTTAAAAAAAAGACTTTTTTGTCAATATTGGTTTTATCCAATTTCTCTTTTCCTGGAATTCTGTCTCTGCCCTGTTTTTTGTGGGTGAGAGGTTTCTGGGGCTTTAAACAAGCACCTTTATAGTGTGGTGTTTCAGAACTCTGATTCCCTCTACTTTTTCTACTGTTTGCAGCTTTCCGTATTAATTCTTAGTACTTACGTTTTCTTTCCCTGAGAGTGGGGATCGAATATCTTACAAATCCCTCCTTTCCAGTTGTATTGGCCAGACGTGCTGTTATAGTAGTAATGATACTTTGTCATACCTTCTACAAGATGATGTGTTTGGGAGGGCTAAATGGGTGAATCTGTTACAATGCGTAGAAGTGCATAAACTATTACAAATACCTCTACTGTTAGGATAATGTGCTGCTGTGCAATTCAGTTCTTATGCAAAGGTAAACTAAGTGACTGATAGGAAATATCATATAAAAAGACAAGATGTTCTTATAAATTCTTCAAGTGATAGCAAAAAACAGGAGACAATTTGTTACATACTTTGCATCAGTAGAGATCTGAATCTTTCTGATTCCTTGAGGTTGGTAATTGTGCACGTAAAAATGCTGTCTGTGCAAGTTATCAAAACAGGTCTCAGGTTCTTGTTTTTTTTTTTTCCTCTGAGTCAGGACTGGAAGCCAGCATATCTTTATTCCTTAAAATAGTCCCATGAGATTAGAGTTCAGATATGATAGAAAGGGAAAACTTTGGGGAGCCTGGTTGCTGTTTACTCCTGAAGACTCCTTCCATGCTTCAAAAATTACTTGCTTGGAGACCTGAGAAGTGAGTGTTTAGTTTCTTGAAGGCTTGAGGTCAATTCTTGGTTTGAGCTGGAAAAGTAATACATCAGTCCCAGCAGTCCAGGTTGTGCCAGGTGGATATTTAAAAAAAAAAAAAATCAGGCCAGGTGGAGTTAATGGTATTTCTACATACTCAGCAAAAAAGCCACAGTTTAGGAAAACAGAAGCTTTAGGTACCTGTACATACTCTGTTTATTTTGTCTACTGTGATGATCAATAGAATGTAAAAGGTAGATCTGAAATATGATCAGCAGGATATCATTGTTTCTTGGGAGGTTTTTCATCAAGCACCATCTGGATCTGTGGCAGTGTCTGCGTAAGATCTCTTTGTGTTGTAACGGAATGTAACCAAAGGCCTCATCCAAAATATGCAGTGACAGGCAAGGAATACAGTTAATAGTGCCTGATTTTTGGCTTGTCTGATCTGTCAACAGTGAACATGAAAACTTTGATGTCCTTGATTTGTGCCTTAAAGAGTGTAACACTTAAACCAAGTTGAAGAACGTTAGTGCTTGAATTGTTGAATCAAACTTGCCTGTACAATTAATTCTTATCCTGGAAAGATATCAAAACATTGTAGTTCTTAGAAGTACAACTTTAACATTTAAGAATTAATCTCGTAACAAACATGCCAGAAGGATGCCGTTAATTGATGTTTTGTTGTCACAGGAGAAAAGGCAGCTCACCATCCTTTTGAAAGCAGTAACTGCTGTTGATGCGATTAGATGGAAAAATGTTTCACGGTTCACTCTTCACGCTGATACGGTGTCATAAGTGTTTTCTGTTTACTCGTGCTGTCCATTTTTGTCAAGTGTCTGAGTCTCTTGGTGCGTTTGCTATTTTTTTCTGGCTGTTTGATTAGGAGTTAGTATAAAAACATATTTCCAATTTCTGCATGTTATCTTTTCAAATGATCCTTCTCATGTTCTTTGTGTTTCTTCCATTTTAACTTCTTGCGTGCAGACAGCCTATGATAATTGTATGTTACTATTTTCACACACACAGGAAGTACCTTGAATAATTTGAATTTAATACAGCAGCCATCATATTGTCCAATGAAAATAAGTGTTGGATTTTGATTACAGATTTTTGAAATGTTTTGTTTTCAGGAAGCAAAGCCTTCAGCTGAGGACTTAGGAGATAAGAAAGAGGGGGAATACATTAAACTCAAAGTCATTGGGCAGGTGAGTGTTTACATAACTGACATTTGGTAGATGCTGTGAATTTCTGAGTTATAGAAATGAACAGATGGAAGTTAATACTTTCAGTTCTCCAATGCTGATCTTCCCCTCCAACCTCCAAAAAAAGCTATTTACCAGTTGCTGGCAATGTGTGTTAGCATACTCTTAGTTTCAGGTCTTTGGAGTTCATGTACCCTAACTATGAGGTCAACTCTCCTAGATAGGAGTAGAAAGAAGATTCTGTTGGTAGGCTTGTGGGTAATAAGTGGTGAATCACAAGTCTGAATTTAAGTTGTTTGAGTAGATGTCCAGATACTTCTTGAACACAATTCCTTCTCTGCAAAGAACCCCTAAATCATTTGATTCGACTCAGTTTTGTTTGTTAGAATACTGGTGTGGTTGCTAGGCTGTTGACTGGAGACAGATGACATAGAGTAGGGCTAACATAAACTAACTACTTGCTGGTTTAATCAGCAATGACAAGAACACGTTCAAAAGCTAAATGTGACCCACGAGATTTTTGTGCAAAGCCTTTCGTCATCTGTTTTATCTGTGGCCATTTTGACAGACGTAGTTATTCATACTTTATAGCTGGTAGAAAGGACTAAGGAATAATGAAACATAAGTTTTTGTTTTAGGTTAGTGTTATGTTGCCAAGTCAGCCTGTATCCTAACTTCTGGATAATTGCTGTAATTGATCAAGGTTTCACATATATTTGAAATGCAAGTTTTAACTTGTCTTTTGGAATCTTAAAGCAGAATTCCCTTGCACATGTAGGTTTGGATTTTCTATGAGTATCAGCTGGTTAAAGATGGGAGCACAGACTGAAACAAGTATGGTATTTAGTACTTTTAAATCCAAAGATGTCTGTAGTGAGCTGAAGGTTATGTTATGCCACCTGTTTTAAAATAGAACTTCCTGTGAAAGTAATTAATTCAGTGCATAATATGAACCTCTAGGATGACTTAGCCACTGAGGTATGCCCAGGGATAGTTAAAATTGTGTAATGAATGGTTAAACTGTTCAGTGCTAGTTTTATGTAAGTTTTTCTCAATGATGGTCTTAAAATGAATATAGATAAAATATGTAGTTACTAGAAAGAGTAACTTTTTTCTTTTCTGTTCTTAGGACAGCAGTGAAATTCACTTCAAGGTGAAAATGACAACGCACCTCAAGAAACTCAAAGAATCGTACTGTCAAAGACAGGTTTGTGAAACAATGATACTGAATATATAATGGCTGAGCCGAAGGTGTAGAAGTTACCTTTTAAAATGCCTAGACAGGAGTTTATAGTTACTTTAAAATCTTCCTGATTCAAATGAAATTCCCTTAAAGCTGTGGAAGACTGCAGCTTAAGATGAGGGCAGCCTTAGACACTGTTACTATCATTAATACGGTAATCAATTAATGCTGCCCATTATGCCCTAAATGGAAGAAATACACAATATTAATGGTTGATGTAGGTAACTACTGTTCCAGGACAATAACTGTAACTTCACTTCCAGGTTCTGTGGCAGATACTGTGGATTCACTGCTGCTATTTCCAGCAGCCCTGGCCTAGTTTGCCTCCAGCTTTGGGGATAGATGCCTTGTGCGGCCTTTCCTTGAGCACTTCTGTTTTAGTTCACTTTGTATATATTATATACGATTATATTCAGATATAATCGCATGAAATACTTTTTTATTTTAATACTTTGATACAAATTGAACTTGTCAATTCTGTAGGAATACCTTGTTCATGTTAGATTTTCAGTGTTTTTATGCTGATATCTGCATGCTGCTATATGGTTTGCTATCCTATTAGAGGAGAAAATAAAAGATTAAACACCAAATACTTGTAGCCACATATGAATTCTTAAAGTTGGGATTCATCAAAGAACTTGAGAACAGATACCGGAAATTATTCATGCAGGACACTGACTGATGGAAATGCATGTGTGTGGATTACTTTCGAGAAATACATGCTTCAACAGACACGGCTAAATCTGTCTCCTGGGCTGAATTCTGGAGAGTTGCTGTTTTTGCTATCAAGTAATCTTTCTCTTAGAGGAACCACCAACGTTTCTTCCAAATTAGCCAAGAGGGATTGTTGGAGCAGTGTGAAGAGCTTCTCCTTCCTTCCTATGAATTGTTATGCCTAAAAATTTGCAAGCAATACTTGAGATGTAATTGATGCCCAAAACAGGTCATATTTCACTTGGGTTTATGCTCATCAAGTAAGTGAAAGAAGAGGAAAAGGTGAGGTGTTCAGTTCACTTACTGAAGTATGGTATTCAGTTTTAATAGAGGTGCACTGTACAAAACAAAGATGAGGAAACTTCTCAGTTGCTGAGCTAGAACTCCAGTGCAACCTCAGAATAAACATGAGTTCAGCACTGTCATTCTCTTTGAGTCACTTAACAGTATACATGGGGGTAACAGAATAGCTGAGCTCCCTTTGTAACAGGAACTAATGCTTTCCTTTTTGGCTTTCACGTGTGGTGGTTTTATTGAAAACATTTTCTTATGAATATGTGCAAGTTTCAATTGATTTTTTTCTTGTGCATTTTTTTAGGGTGTTCCAATGAATTCACTCAGGTTTCTCTTCGAGGGTCAGAGAATTACTGATAATCATACCCCCAAGGAGGTGAGTTTCTGTCTGGAAAGTGTTGCATATACCAAGTTCACTGGAGAAACTAAACACAAAATTGGTTAGTCTATTTGTTCTGCTAGCCTGTTAATCTGATGGAAGATGTTTCTCTAAATACAGCCAACCTTCTTAGACTACATTTAGTCAAATGTAGTCTGACTATACTTGTCTGACTAGAATCTTTAAAAAGGTTGATACAAGGATTAGGAAAAAAACTTTAATTGGACCTACATGTGTAACATTCCCTCAGAAGGGAGGTGTAGTTACTTAACAGAGGAAAGAAGACTAAGGGAACTGGTAAATTGTTGAGATAAACCTTCAGTCTGACTTTGGAACAAACGTGTATTTAATTCGCATTGATTAGATGGAAGTGTAAGTAAACAGAAAATAGGTTACTTCTGCTGTCCAGTGACTTCTACTGATTGTAATGATAAATCAGGAAGAAAAAATGAATTACAATAATGAGCTTCTGGAACAAATTAGTCCAACTTGTGCACTGTGGAATTCAACAAATTATTTTCTTTAAAAGAACAGTTGTAAACAGGTTTTGAGTTGCAAGCTTTAGGTCTTAGCTGTATTGTGCTGTAGCAGTATGCTGTTTATAAGCCACGTGGCTACACAGCTGGTGCTACTATGCAGTACTATGCATACTGCACTATGCTGTTGGTTACATCCTTGTGCATCCATTACCCAAGAAGGGGTTAAGAGAAAAGTAGAGCTAGTTGCTTCCAAGCTGATGTGTACTGCTTCCCAAGTAGATTTAGATTCCACAGATAAGATTGTTGCTTTGAATTTGGGATGTGCTGAGATGTCTATGATTAAAGGAAAAAAAATAAAATAAAAATTGAGCGATGGATAGTGAAATATTAATTTAAAAAATTATCACCCCTTTGTCTTCTGTCAAATTATGATGCGACATCAGAACAAAGCATTGTATGGTTTGTCTAGGACCTGTTCTGAATTCAGTGCACCAGATTTATAACAATTGTGCTGTTTTTTCTGTTCTCACAGCTGGGGATGGAGGAGGAAGATGTGATTGAAGTTTATCAGGAACAGACGGGGGGTCACTCAACAGTTTAGATCCTTCTGTTTGCTTTCTTTCCCCTTAATCCTTTTTTATTTTTAAATAATAGTTCTTTTGTAATGTGGTGTTCAACACTGAATTGAAACTGGCACCCCATCTCTGGGAGTTTATTTTCAAGCGTCTGGTATTTTGAATTCTCGTGCTCATTATACACTATTGTTTCTGTTTTCATTGTGCTGAACTTTTGTGATCCAGCTGCAACCCTGCTCTCCTTTTCCCTCCTGCCCTCCCCTTTAGAAATACATGTACACACATGCATTTGTACGTTCACTAGGTTCGTGCATTTCAGGCACGAAGGTTGTAAGATCTGCCAGGTGGGCGAGTGTTCTTAATGACTTCCATATCTGCCCTGAAGTTTTGATGTGTGACTGTTTCACTCCTGGACTATAACTTTCAGTGCGAGATGAAGTTTTTCAGAACTAAACTGTGGAGAAATTCTGTATCCATAACTCAGAGCTATTTTGCTTAAATTGCGCTGATGGCCCAACGAAGAAGATCAGAGTTGGAAATGGAAAAGCTAGAACTGTTGTCATCTGTACGTTGCTCCAGAGATGGCTTTGCTGAAGACATAGAATTGAAAACCCTAATGATTCTTAAATCTTGTCGGAAGATCCCAGAAGCATTTTAACTTCATATAGGAATTAGTACATGCAGGTATTCATGCAAGGATGTTCGCAGCAGACAACTGGTGTTACTTTGACACTTTTGTTTGTACCTTTTGGCCTGGGACGTGGGTTTTGAATGGACATTGTCTGTACCAGCTTCATTTAAAATAAAAAACAAAAACAATTTTATAAACAATTTGCATTTTCTTTTCAAATGTTTGGAAATGAGTAAAAATGTAAAAAGTGGTGATTGGGGCATGCCTTTCTAGTACCTCTACACTGAAGGCAGAAAAAGTTGCACTCTGTAAGTATACCTCATATAAAAACACTTACTTTTTTCTACTTGCCCAAGTAAAATAACTGTTCTTGGTTTGCCAGGGACTCGTACTATTAGCTGTTTCTTGTCCTGTTAGGGAATATTCACATAGTTACGTACTGCTTCACTTCATGCACAAAGGTTAGGCTGAAAAAGGCAGCTTGGAAGGAAATACAAGGACTGTTTCTAATGTCTACATTTCATATGACTATGGTAACATTGTATAATTTCTCTGTGATGGATGATGTGGAAGTGTGAATATGGTACATGAGGCCTCACTGAGAGTCAACATATCAACTAGCTGGTTGCAGGTTCAAAATAGAGAACCTATAATGGGGAATGAAAGCTCAGAAGGTTATAAGCAAGGCAGCATAGAGAAGATTTCTTCACTCCCTGCTTCTGCTTTTCAGCAGATAGATGGGACTTGTTCCTGGCTTGATTTTTAAATAAAGTTCATTTAACATGAATTTGGCATTCATAAAGGCCCATTTTAGTGCTGGCATACTAGGAAGAAGTTACAGATAGGTTTTGAATGATCAAGCTTTTATGGTACTTGCTGTAAAATTATAAATGAATTTTAATTCTGGTGATTTGTCCTATTTCTGATCTAGTAATGCTTCTGTACCCGTAGTTGCACTAAGAAATTTTTTAAAGATTAATTTTTTTTGTCAGGAATGTTGGAATATGGGATTTTTCAAAGTATTTTATGTAAGTCAATTTTGGAGATGAGAAAGAATTGCTACTATGAGGTGCAGAGTAACGTAGCTTCTTTGGAATCATCTCTGATTGCTTTTTGAGAATACTAAATATATCTGCTTTGGGATACCAGAAATAAAACAGCCTATTGAGCACTATCAGATCATCTTTTAATTTAAATTTGTGTAACGATCTTGTTAGTAGGCTCATTCCCATTATCATTCTGCAAATTAGCAACAGGCACGGGGGGACAGTGGTTTACTTAAACTGAAAGTGGAGATGAGAACAGAATCCATTTCCACTGGGTTTGATGCCAGTGCTTCTGTTGCTGCACCAGCTTTCTTCAGTTCTTACTGTTCATTTTCCTCTTTCAAGTCTGTTTTTTATGCTCTTCCATATTAACTTCCTAGTTTTAAAGCACTGCTTGTCACTTTCTTAAGACTATGGAGGAGGGTTTCCTGCAGAGTGCTATTTCAGCTTCAGTGGGATGAAGCTCAAGGCTCAATTTTTCTTCTGTTGTGTAACCTTGTCCTGAAACACGTCTCCATAGAGTGGATATGGTACCAGTGGCAAACTGATTTAACCTCTTACTTACCAGTTATCAAGCCTTGAGGAACTAGTACCTGAGCAGAGCTGCTGGTCTAAAGCAGCATCTTTACAGTTAGAACTGTTGATGGGACAGAAATAACAAGAATACTGTACTCTGACTCAGATTAATATTGAGAGCTCCATATAAAATGAGAAGATGCACAAACTACTCATGCATTGGTATCTTTCTTAAGGAACTTCATTGTTTGGAAGTTGTACATTGAAATAAACCTGAATTTTGAAGTTGAGTGTACAAAGGCTGTTTTTTCACTTCTTTGGAAGAAGTAGTAATTCTCAAAGAATTCCTTTCTGAAAAGATGGTCCAGATTATTTCTAAACCATTCATGGATTTGAAGCTCATGACTGGAAGTCAGACTGGCCTTCATATGCTGCAGAAAAATAGAGAAAAGACTCTTCCTCCTGAAATTTTCTTTGATCTTCATTTATGTGCTTACCTAGATATTAGAAGAACTCAGTTCAGCTGCTGCTAACTGCTTCTGCTTGGTGTTGTTTGTGTTTTTTTTGTTTGTTTGTTTTTACTTTTAGAAACAAGTGATTGTCAGAGAATTAAACAATATTCACTGAGTCCGTTATGCACTAGAATATAGAAGCTAATATTTGCTTTAAATATTTCTAATTGTGAAGTTCATATATTTAATGTTCACTTTTATGCTGTATAGAAGCTGTATTGCTAAGTGCCGTGAAAGGTCAGGTTCCATGAAGATGTTCTTAAAGCTGCTATGTTTAAAGTGTTTATTCTCTTAAATATAAATATCTAAATTCAGCAAAATGAGATTTTGAAGTTAAATTTGTAAATGCTTGCAGATAGTGGACTTCAGTTATAATGTCAGATGATGCTGGCACTTGAAGTCTGTCAGAAATTTTGAATAACCACATGTTTAGAAGCACTAGAACTGTATACTACAGGATTTTTTTTGTTTGTTTTTTCCTGCTTGGAATTAGAATTATTTTTAGAGTACAATACTTATGTATCTGTGCTGAGCTGGGCATCTTCTGTATGTACTGTTTAATTATTGTTGTACAAGTAAATTTTCTCAAATGAGAAGATAAGCTTCTGAGACACCATACAGATAACTGTAGGAACAGTGCACATTGGAAGTAAACTGGCTTTGTTTTGCTTTTAGAACCAATACTTAATGTGTGTTTATTTCAACTGAAGTTCAACTTCAGCTTAAACAAATCTCAGAAATTGATTACTGTTCTCTATGGGAGACTTTCTACAGGAATGTTAATACAATTTAAATCTATAAATGTCATTTTTTTGTTAGATAATATTAGTGAAGCAGAAAATAAGGTGAACTTGCAATGAAGTTCTTAGCTTGCTACAGCTTGTCTTATAGTTGATAAAGAAAATTCTTCTGAAACAGTAACAAATTGATTGGTTTGGGTGTTTCTTTCCAAAGTCAGCACTAAGATCTTCATACCTTTTGTAAACTGATAGTTCTGGTTTTTTTCCTCTTAAAACTGAAGTGAACTGAAGAATCTACAATGAAGCAGCAAAGGATAAATGAAATGTATTCTGACACCTCAAGAGGTTGTAAAGGTTATCATGGTCTGTCTGGGTTCATTTCTGGTTGCTGTTAAAAACAGATGCTTTTACTTGTCTAATTTCTTGTCTATACAGACTATAGTTGCAGCTTGGGAAAACAGCTTAGGGAAGGAGAATAGCACTTGTCTGGTAAAGGAACATTGGTCTTTTGAATCAGGTTGGAACCTTCAAGTTGGAAGGCTTCAACTAAAAGAACTTACTGCAATGACAAATACCTGGCACCAAGCATTTATTTATTCTTTGGTATTGTTTTCTGGCCTAGCTCTTTCAAGCAGCTGAAAATAAAACCCATGGATGAGAACCATCTTGAGCTGGTAGCTTCTGTCAACAGTGCTTGTGGGAACTGCAGACACTGCTCCAGGTCTGCTCTTTGCCTGCAAACACCGTTAATTAAATGGGTTGAAGACACAGGTCAGACTTCCTCCTTGGATTAGAAAACTGGTGTTTTGACTCAAAATCTGCACGCTCAATAGGCTCATGGCTGGTTCACTGGCAGTTTCTTTGACTTTACCTATATGCAATAGTGCCTTTTGAGGCACTGAGCCTGGACAGGAGCGTGCAGTTAAAAAAAAAAAAAAAAAGCTTATAGCTTGTTGGCCAGTATGTTTTACTGTTACGACGTCATGAATAGAGCAGACAGAATATAGTTCCTGCTGCTCACCTGTAGTTATCATGTATCCTCTCCTCTGTTGTAGTGCTTTGTGACTGAAAAGTTGATCTAGGATCCCTTTCAGAGAAGGAACTGTTTGCAGTGCTTTGGTATGCAATGTGTAAATTCCCAGCTTGTGTTCTGAGGTTCTGGTAGGAATGAGTTCTGGAAGCACGCTGTGTTGGAGTCTGCTCTGAAGGACTACATAAAGGTAATCATAATTTCAAGTGTAGAAAAATCTAATTGTGCTTTCTAGAGTGTAAATGGATGTTATTTGAATATTTAAACTATATAAGCAAATTGCTGGTGGAATTAAGGGAAATATTGGAAAAAAATGGTTAAATAGCAAAAGAATTACGTTATGTCTTGGAGCTTATATTGAAGGTAGCATAAGTTACTCCTGGATGGTGCTCTTCAATGTGAACTATGCTGTTTGGAGTCTTGACTAAGTAACTATTATTGCATATTTTGCCACTAAGTATATAAATACACTATTATTACTAAGAAAAGAAAGTAACTTCACTTTCTGTATGATAGCTACACACCTGATTGAAAGCTGTGCTTACCTAGTGTCTTTTTTCATCTGTTCCTTAGCCTCGTATGTTGCCTACTCTTCCTGGTGTCTTCTCCAAGTGTTCTGCTATTACCACCGGCTGCTGGCATTCCTCTTCTAACCACTTTGCTCCTTCTTTGTCTGCATTTTTCTGCATCTTAAAAACAGATCACCAACAGCTATTGGTTACTCACATGCTTCCTATTTAGGAAATGTTTTTTCATCAATTACAAATGAAAATAATGCTGGAATAATCACATTAAAAGTATTTAAAATCTCAAAAACAGGAATTTGTCTTGGAATTATTCCTGAATCACATAATTTAACTGCATTTATTTTGTTTCTTTAATCTGGTATTTAATATCTGGATTTTCAAGCCTTTCTCTACAAACACCTTTTAGAAGTAGAATCATTCTTGAAGTGTCTAGCTACCAGGACTGGGGCTTTCAGAAAATATATCAAATATATGGAGAACATCAAATTAAGATGTAGCATTAATATTTTTGTTGCTAGCATCTTGTACTATTGCATCATAGCCAAGCTGTAGAATTTTTTCAGGCTGCAGGGACTGTGGAAGAGGTAACTTACCACCATCTCTAACAGGAGCAGCAGAAGTGCTGCAAATTTGGGACTTAGTGTCAAAGGAATTGCATGGTAAAGGCACAAAATTGCCTCTACTAAAAATGATCTTTTCAGACAAATTATCTGCAGTTCAGGTAAGTATTAGCCAAAGACTACCTGCTTTGTCATGTTGCTCTAGCTGTCTTCTGGAACTGCAGAAACTTCCTGTGATAATCCCTCTGCTGCCAAATGTATTCTGATGGCTTTTCTCAAATCGTGCTTTCTTTGCTGCCACCTCTTCCTGGCACCTCCACTCTTCTAATTTGTTTCTGTAACCTAAAACATAAATGATTATTAATTGCTGTAGTAACCTTGAGTTTGCTGAACAATCTTGGCAGAACAAGTTCTTAGCATGAAAAGCTAAACAGATAACCTAAATAAAGGACAGAGAGATTGTAATAAAGAGAGAACAAGGTGCTAGTTAGTGATACTTAGCATATGTCTGGTTGTTTCTGCAAATTAGTATTTTTTTAAAACATATTGTGTACCTTCTACCATCTGTAAGGGGGAAAGGTGAAAACCTGAATTATAAGTCTTAGCTGCATGCTTTTGGCAAGCATATGAGAGATGACAAAGATGGGGTTACAAGTATATTGTTTACATGAGACAAAGATATGGAGACAAGGGATGGAGGAAAGCACAGAGACAGCTATGTAAAGTACAGGGAACAAGAGCTGTGAGATAAAAGTAAAGCATAGCTTTGTGAAACAAGAACAAGCCTGGAACAGGAAGAAACCTAGAACAAGAATCCGAAAGATGTGCTGGATAAGACTTAGATGTAAACAGAATGGTAGTCCAAATAGTCTCTTTGCAGGAAGATTCATACTAAGAGTAAGGAGCATAAAGAAAGTCAAAGACACTAATGATGAGAATTAATAATCTCCTTATTTTGGGCACAAGAACTTAAGGAGAATCAAACTCAGGTATTTTGCTTTACTGACTAACGCTTAAGATCATGGTCCAAACTGATTCGGGGTTCTCAGTTTTTCAGTCTGGCAGTTTGACTTGAATGTCTACTTGCTTTTCCCCACTTAAATTGGGTATGGCCACTAATCTCCAAAAATGCTTACCAAGTCAGGTTTGTCCATCGGTTTCAACCATGTGATTTAATAGAAGATAATACAAAGCAAAAGATGCTACTTCTATAAACCTGTTTCTTTTATAAATGCCCATGATGAGAGAATATCCCTATTGAGTGTTCAGTCACTTCTAGGTATAATGTAACTCTTGAAAATACCAAAGGAGGTCGCTGTTTTCCCCAATAAATACTTTTTCTATATAGAGAGAGGAGAGAGAAAATACAGAAGCAAGCAAAAAGATGATGTTAGAAGTGTTATCTGCTGTTTTGTATAAGCAGAATGTTTCAAAAGGTGAACATAAATGTGGTAATTGTTTTACCAGGGCTTGTTTCTGTTATTGATGTTTCTCAGTTTTGCCCTTACTTTTTATGTAAATCTATGGCTGCAGAGGTAACAAGCAAAAATTGCTCTTAGTGTGTTTTTGTAGTATAAAAAAATTTGTGTCATTAAGAAGGAACCTGCATTACTATGAGATAGTTTTGGTGCTGTCTGGAAAATATATAGTCTTCATGAAATCACTAAGCTGGGTACAATTGGCTGAAAAAATAAATTCATGACCAATAGTGCTTCACTGACAACACTAATTTTTCACTAATGTCTTGGAAAATAATTTTAGGACAGTCTCAGATTGATAACTAATGGATGAAGTTTTTGAAAATAAGTTCAAGAAAATACTAAATTTAGTAAAAAATAAAAATAGTGCACTGCTAAAAGATGCAGCTTTATGTATGGACAAATTTCAGATTAAAATACTTGTTCTCCTCTAGATTGGAATTTGTCTGTGTTCACTAGATCAGTTTGACTCCTTCACACTTATGTTCTATTAGTCTTCTATTAGATAGTGCTTGGTTATGTGTGTTTCTTCATGCTGGAACACTGAAAGGTTTGGATGCATTTTTGGCTGACAAAAAAGGAAAGACTACAGTAGTCTTGTTATCATTCACATATTCCCTTTTTGAATTAGAACTTTGTCACTAACCACATATCCTCTGTTCTTTTTCCAAATTTTCTGTTTCTTTTTCCATTTCTTCCTGATGCTCTTTTTTTTTTTTTTTTCTCATTCCTTCCTTTTCCCTCCACTTGTAGCTGCCTTTTTTTCTGCCTTCTTTTGCTCTTTTTTCCTGAGGAGATCTCTACTCTTGCCATTTTCCATGAGGAATCTGAAAAGGAATATAATTCATATGCTTAGAGCTAGCAGATAAATCATAATTCATAGAATGTCATTAATACTCAAAGTTATTGAAATATGTGCTTTATGTACTTTTTGAAGTAGTTTTTGACTTGTGGGATTCTTCCTTTGTGGTTGCTGTGGTGAACAGTGCCTGTTTTCTATGTTGAGTGCATGTTCTATTATTTTTCTTCCTGTACATACTCACCTTCATGATACCTGATGACTTTTACGCATTTCCTAGTATTTCATGTCCCAATATATTGCTGTTTAAGCTGTATTTTCTGAACCTCTAGGTTTGTATTTTTCCTTGTATTTTTTTTCCACATGTCTTGAAGTTATTAGGGAGCAAGCACAGGGGTTTTATTTAGTCACAGAAAATAATGATGTTTTGAGGAAACAAGTGAAGTTTTAAAATAAGCCTAAAATTCTGATGTCAGAGGACCAATGCAGTGAAATCAGAACAATATGAACAGTCAGTGTTACAGAACCCATTTCTGAAGCTCTGAGCTAGGACACAGGATCTGGGGAAAGAACCTGTATCAGTGGAAGCAAGGCTGGGGTCCCTAATGCTGAAGGGAGGACTGTACCAGGTCATTTAACTGGTCTTACAGTGATGCTTCAGGGAGCCTCCCTGTCCTCCCACCATGGCTCTAGTCACTAGTGCTTCTCAGTGAAGAAAACTTTTCCAGAATTTACAGTTATTTAAGATGCTGCTCTGAAGCATATCTAATTATCCTTTTAACATCAGTCTGTGCTGTCCCTTTATGAGAAGGCATAGAGGAGCTACTTCCATTTCCTAGCTCTTTTAAGAGTGGTCTTAAAAATTTGACAGGGAGCATAGCTTTGCACCTGCCTGGCTGGAGGAGGTCAGCTGGGTGAGGTGAAGGACTGTTATGTTCTACCTGTCCTTGGGGAGGACGTAAGGGTGCAGGCTGCTTGGAGCTGGGGCTTGTCTGGGCTCACTTGCTGCTCCTCATGAGGTACTTGCTGCCCTCATCTGCTGAAACATGACTTTTATTTATTTATTTTTTTTAATGTTAACCTGCCAGAAAGCCTCCATGAGTGGCAGCTTCTCCCACACCTACCTGTGTGGATAACGCCTGGGCAAATAAATAAGCCTGCTTCTTGAGGAGGAGGGAGGGAGCCCTTCGCGCGGCACCCCTGAGGTAAAGCCAGCGGCGGGGCTGACGGAGCTGTGCTGAGGGGGCCGTGAGGCGGGAAACCGCCCCTGAGGGGCGGGGCCGCTCCCTCCCCTTGTGCCGGGCCTGTGGCACGCTGAGGGGGCGGCCATTTTGTGGTGGCGAGGGCTGGGGGCAGCGGAGCTGTGGCGCTGTGTGGGAGCAGGTAAGGCCGCACTAAATAGCCCTTGGTTTTGTGTTTTCGTCATGAAGGAGGAGTTTAAGTGTATGTAAGCACCGATGAGTGCCATTTCTCGACTGCTGGTTGAGGTGACTGTTGGAGGCGAGTGGCCTGAACCAGGTGATCGGGAGGTTCTGTCCTCCTCAGAAGAGCAGGCAGGCTGCACACTGCTGTGTGACTCGGCTGGGCCTCCTCCCCTCTCCCCTGTTGTCGCTTTCTTCCACTTTGTGCCTTTGCCACACAGGCACTTTTCATCCCCACATTTCTCTTCTGATTTTTTCTTGGGAAAAACACAAGACTTTCCAAACCAAATCACTATTGAAGTGGTATATATTGATCCGGGCAGTAAGTTTTTGAATACTCTGGTGATTGCTTCTTCAGACTACAAACATTTTAGAGGTAAATCTGTTCTATTAATGTGTTCATTTTTATGTAATATTTTTGTCAGAGAGGAATGTGTCACGTTATTAATAGGATGAAAATACTGTTTTCATGTAATCCTAGGTATGAGAATTTGCTCTGTCTTATAACTTTGTGACTCTTAGGAAAAAAAAATCACTTGATTTTTGTTCTTTTTGCCCATGTTTTGTTCTTTATTCCACCTGAGTTAATCGAATATACCAAGAATCTTACTGTCAATCTTCACTTACGGTGGGAAAGATGCAACAAATCATCGGGACTGTAATGAACATCCAAAAAAAAGGAGGGGGGAGGAGGATATTAAGAAAGCTATTAATTTTTAATAAATCATCTTGTCCTAATTAGCTGTTCTGCTGCTCTGACTGCTCTCCGATGTGCTGAGGCTTACACTTACCTGCCTTCTGAAGACAAATCGTAGAAGACCATGATAGCTAGCAGAGGGAAGCTGGAATATGAGACCGGTGAGTTTTGAGCTTCAGGCTATCTCTGGCCTCATGGTTAACCTCACACAAGTTTTGACTGTCTCTCTGTACAGTGTAAGAGGGCTCCACAAAATTCAACTTTATTTCTAGGTACCACCCTAATGCAGACAGGTGTGCCTAAATAACCTCAGCCTGTTTGTTGTAAACATACACTCAAGTAGATGTACTTAAAGATTTTCTGCTTCACTAGTGTGGTCTAGAGAAGAAAAAAAATTACCATGTCTACTTAATACAACTAATGATCCTTGACTTTTGACTTAAAAATATATATATTGTACTTTGTATAGTTACGATATTTCTGACCATTGGTGATGATTGATGTATGTTACTTGAGGCTTAATAATTGAATTACTTTTAATAGAAGTTCATCATTACTATTCACCAGAAAAAATTCCTGAAGACATGAATTTTCCTTTGTCTTTGATCTTGTAAGCAACTGCTAAACAAAAGCCTGGAAATAAAGTTCTCTGAATCCCTCCCTTTCATTCTGTTTTGTAGTAATGGATTATAATATCTTATTCCTCTATATACCCGTGCTATATGTCCCATTGAAATCATTAGAAAAATGCATGCACTGTTCAGGAAGATGCTAAAAGACCAGCTTTTGTTCATTAACCTTATGTACAACTAATTCTGCATCGTGGTGTTGTCTGTATTTATAGCTGCCTTTTTTTTTTTTTTTTTTTGAGTTTTGAATGCTGGATCTACCTTTGTCAGATTGTCCGAAGTTCTATATGGCTTTTGTCTCTGCAGCACCCCTATTCTAGAAATTGTATGTGCTTTTATGTGGTGATAAGGGGTACTGATTAATCTCCTGGCAAACAGCAATTGCTCAGATTCTTGTACCACTTCTGTTGCTTCAAAAGCATTGCTTGTAAGAGAAAATCAGTATTTCTACACTAGGACTTCACTAGAATGGCCACAGACCACAGTTGTATCCCAGCTGAAATGTGTTCCTGTGCTACTGGGTCTGCAAGTTGTGCATGAGAACCTGAAGAGTGAAGATAACTTCAAGTTGTGCGTACTTACTGATGATAAATTGGAGGAAAAGATGAAGGAAGCTATTTTCCTCCATAAATCAGTTTGGTTTATTTTTTAGCATAAATCCTGATGTCTGCTGATTAAATAAAGAATTGCTGTGTGGTTGTTGGGTTTTATTTTCGCCTTGTATTGCCCCGTATTATCTACTGTTGATGAAACTGTTCCTGAGGTTTCTTTTAATATAGATGTTTACTGTGCACAGGAACCCACCTATTTCACTTTGCCCAAAGACCAGTTGTTAGATCAGTGCGGGGAAAGCAGAACATGCTTTTTACCAGGCCTGAAGTGTTTTCCACTGCTGCAGCTGTATTTTCCAGTTGTCCCTATGAAGGGATTATAAGGAAGAACAGTGTTCTACCGTTAATCAGGTGTCTGTGCATGGATGAGTCATGTATGTACATGTCTCACTTAACAGTTTTCTGCATATGATTTGATCTACAAGCGAGTGAATGTTATGCTACCTTAACTTTATACTGATGATATGAAGCAATCTGTAGCACAAGCCCAACAGTGCTTACTGTGTTGCATTCTGAGTTTGAACCATAATTAGAAGTGGTCCCTAAGGTAAGTACATAGCCCTTCCTGGAGAAGGGACAGGAAATTTTGTTGCCACAGGACGTGCAATATCAAAGCTTCTGCGAACTCCTTTTTTTAAATCTGCAATTAGGAAAGTTTCTCTTCTTTTCTGTTACTGTTTTTCAGAGTTACTTGTTTTTATTCCAGACTTCTTTCTGTATTTTGTGATGGCTGGAAGATTTCAAAAGACCTGATCCAGATTCAGGCTCTAAATCCTGTTTTTAAAAATAAAAAAGGGAAATTGAGAGAGCAACAACAGAATTAACCATCAAAATTTAAACTGTTGATTCAAAAAAAAAAAAAGTATAGGTAAATCTTGATTGAAGTTCTGCCTTAACTTCACCATGTTTTTCACAATTGTAAACCCTGAAACTTCGGAATAATGTCAGTACTACATAATGAATAGCTCATACAGTTGTAATGGCCCTAGCAGGTAGCTGCTTCTCTCCTTGGAGATCACTTGTCTCTTCATTACAGAGGCTGGCAAGTCCCATTCTCTTAAGGTGCAATGAAGATCCAGACTCATTCGTAGATGCCTTGCATATTTAATAGTGGTTAGTATTTTAATAATTGTTACATTTAATGTAATTCATTCAAAGATCTTGAAGTATGTTAGAAGATGGTCTGATTTATTTTTTTTTTTTGTTTTAGTAGTGACATGAACCCATAGGTTCCAGTGACTTTAGCAACAGCAGTAAGTGCTTATTTTTTGTAGCTTAATCCTCATAGAAAACTTATATTACACATTTAAATGACTGACTTCTGCATGAATGTTCTGTGAAGACTTGTTTGGAATATATTTTCTGAAAATGACTCTAAGAGGTGCATTTGTAAAACTACAGCATAAAAAAAAGCTTCACTTTGCTTCTTGTCTTGTGGTGAATTGATCTAGAGCAGGCAGTTGATTTTGAGAGGTGTGACCTAAATGCAAGGATTTTGTTTAAGTGTGCGCTCTCATGGCACACTGCTCTTCTTACAAGAATATCAGAGTAGTCAAAAAAAAAAAAAAGCTCATTCTGAGCATGAAATATAATTAGAGCTTAACAAAAATAATTACATAAAACAATTTTATTTGAGTGAGGGGTAAGGCCAAAAACTTTGTTATTCTAGTTGGATATTTTTGTTTTATTTTATCTTGCCTTTAGAGACTGCTGCTTTGAGGTAGTTTCCTATAAATTCTACTGAAGCCCCTCTCCTTGGGCTTGCTTACTATAAATAAAAGCTGATAGACTTGTCAAGGCCTAGACTGAGAGCAGTCTGTGTTATCGGACTTATCCCTGTGATTCTGGAGTCCCTGGTACTTAGCATTGTATCAGTCAGAAACCCAGCTTAGCTGGTGTTTAAGACTAATACATAGCTGTCTTGTATGACTCAAATAGCATAAAGGCCTGCAGAATTTAACTACCTGGTTTTCTGCAATCACCATACATCTTGTTTCTGGTAATGTGTTTTCTGTGTAACTTGTTAGTTTTCCTTTAACACCCATCTAGTCTGGAGTGCGTGGTTATGTCTTTAATTTGAGTGAATCGATACGTACCTGAACAACAAACTTCATGTAGCCTTTTAGTTTTTCACAGTCCTGTTTTAAAGCAGTCTCATCACGCAGAAAGCACTTTCACACCAATAGACAGGATGTTAGTGAAGTGCAGTGGATGGGGACCTGTTTATTTACTATGAAGAATGGGAATAATTAAATGAAACTTAAAAGTGCAAAACCTCCCACTTGAAGCGTGTTCTTCCCGAGGAGACAAGGCCAGACACAGGGCAGAAAGTGTGCATCAAGTCAAGCACAGTCAACTTGTCCATGGGGGTGACTGTTCTGCTGTATTCCACACTGGTGCAACCTCACTCAACACTGTGTGGCTTTGGTCATGACATTATAAGAAGGACATAAAACATTTAGCCTCCAAAGGAGTGTTATGAAGATGACGAAGGGTCTAGAGGGTAAGGAGTATGAGGAGTGGCCAGAGTCACTTGGTTTGTTCAGCCCATATCAGAGAAGGCTGAGGTGGTGTGGAGAGGCAGATGCTGATCTCTGGTATATGGGGACAGTGCAAGGACCCAAAGGAACACCATGGAGCTGCATCAGAGGAGGTTCAGAGTGGGTGTTAGGAAAAGGCACTTCACCAAGAGGGTGGTTGAGCACCAGAACAGACTCCCCAGGGGAATGGTCATGGTCCCAAGCTTGTTGGAGCTAAGAAACATTTGGACAATACTCTAACACAGTCTGACTTTTTGGGTGGTCCTATGTGGAGCCAGGACTTGGGCTGGATGATCCTTGTGGGTCCCTTCCAGTTTGGGATGTTCTGTGGTTCTGTGATTTCGTGCAAGTGCCCTAAAAATGCTTATGTGCTGTTGCTGTCATATGTTTTAATCTTGAGAGAGGAAATTTGGCAAGAGATCTGTCTGTGTAAATAGGAGGCAGTGGCTGTCCTTTCTAACTGTGAACGTAGATCAGAGAGGCCACTATTGTTGGGCTACAATTGCCAAGAAATTCCACTCTGATGCTTCGCTGTTACACATTGTGATAGACAATAATGTAATTAAAATGCCTGACTAATATAGAAACAAAGGAAGTGGAAAACAAGTCTGTCTTGTTTTTAGTACTTTTCATAGAAGTTAATTTTTTTTTCCTCTGTAAACTTAAATCTTTTTAGTAAAGCTCACAAAGTGGTCAAAGCAGGTTGCTTTTTGTTTGCTTTTTAGGTGTATTTTAGAATTGAAGACTTGAGTTCAGGTCTAATTCCAAATCCTTGAACCAGTATTGAGCCTTCAAATGATGATAACGGGTAAAACATCTCTCCTGAAACCTAAAAGCAGCCAGCAGTAATAAAGGGATGTTTTTTAATTAGAAGCTTACAGGTGACCTATGAGCCATGAAGCTGCTAGGTTAGTACTGCGGTGCTGTCTATTATTTGACCTCAACTGTTAGGGAAATTCCATGTTTAAAAAAACAATGAAAATAAAACCAGAGGATCTGTAAAATAGTGCTCTCACTTCCTGACAAAGCCCCAGGAGGCAGTTTGCTTACCAGCTTTAGTTGAAGTTGTGCGATTAAACTGTAGAAGTAAGCAGTTCTTAAGCAGTAGGAGATGTCTTTCCAATGTATGTTTAAGGACAGTGTTTGGCAGCCACCCCCTAAAAGAGGGAATCTCAAGCCTGGAGAAAGAGGAGCAGAAAAAAAGCAAGTTATTTTGCTGTGGGTGTGCAGTGGTTTTCTCTGCGGAGTTGGCTTGTGGCATAGGATGTTAAGGCACCAGTAGAGAGAGCTATTGTTTCAAGGATGTGTGAAAAGCATTGTAGAAGGGTGCAATTTGTGGTCAGGACATGACACTGAAATGCGTTACTACAAAAGATCACAT